AGCATCACTGGCACCTGTTCCTATTGTAGGCAATCCATAGCCGACGTAGATTCGAGCTCAGTATACTCCAGAGGTGGCTAGAGCGTTGAGGCTCTCATTACAGCTACGGAGTTGATTATCTGACAACGGATGCCTTCAACTTCACAGTCATAGTGCAATGGACAATGTCAAGTTATGACTACGTCGTGGCAGCTGTCAAAAACGTCAAGGAAACATTAAAGGTCAGCCCAAAATGGAAAATGCCCAAGAATGCACCAACGCCAATGACTAGTGCCTATGAACCGGAGATGGATGGATCAAGCCAATTAGGACAAGAAGACCATACCTACTTCCAAGAGTTGATTGGGATATTACAATGGGCGACAGAGATTGGATGAGTCGACATCTTACTGGAAGTCTCACTTCTGAGCCAGTATCAAGCAGCCCCAAGGGAAGGACACATGGAACAAGTATCGAGGATATTTGCTTTCTTGGATACCTTTCCAAAATTGACTCTTTACTATCATTGGAGGACGCCAAACGTAGACTATTCCAAGTTGAGATCCTCCAGGGAGGATTTTGAGGTATACTATTGAGAGGCGATGGAAGAGATGCCACACAACACACCCAAACCAAGGGGACAAAGTGTAGGAAGTACTGGCTGCATGGGTAGATGCTTCACATGGTGCCAATAAGAAAACGCGGAAATCACATACAGGGTACATAATTTTCCTCAATCGAGCACCTATCTTATGGTACAGCAAACGACAGAATACAGTGGAAGCGAGTACTTTTGGTTCCGAATTCATTGCTTTGAAGTCATGCATCAAAGCCATCACGCATTTGAAACTCAAATTGAGGATGTTTGGAATACCTTTGGAAGAAGGACCGTCGCACATATTCTGCGACAATGAGAGCGTGGTGACGAATTCAACAATGGTTGAATCCACTTTGAACAAGAAGCACAATTCGATTGCTTATCATTACACAAGGTGGAACATGGCTGCAGGAGATGTTGACGTATCATGGATTGCAGGAATGTTGAACCTTGCTGATGCCTTCACAAAACGATTGACACAAGAAAGGAGAGGGCGACTATTTTGGGAATGGACGTACTAGACACGTTATTGAACTGGATCCCACCGTTGGAACCCAATTCGAGGGGACCAAATGAAAGCTTCCGTGCTATTGCACACGCATGCAATCGTTTGTGTCCGTAAGTGAACAGGATCGGCCTTCGCGGAAGCCTGTTGATGAAACGACAATGACAACACTCTTTTTAAGAATACAATTTGATCTACATTACTATCTTTAATATCTACTACTTCGTAAGTCAACACTCTCGTAATAAGGTAACGATTACATTTATATGAAACAACGCACTCGCAGGCAATTACTGCGACTGTTATTTGCGATTTCGCTGGAAAATTTTCAAATACGTCATGTGACAAAGCGGAGACGGAAAATCCAGAAGCTGTGACGTCTTCCTGTCTCGATCGTGCCAAATTTTTTATAATATATTGAGTCGGCGTCACATTTTTCGAACACGCCGAATAAGGAGCGACAATGATGAGCTTGAGATTTTTGCCTCTGTTTATACTCTACTTCATTTCCTTCCTTTCCAATGCAATAGTAGCTAAGGAAGACAAGAACAATGCCGAAGCGATTAGGAGCACAAAAAGGAACACACTGAACCTCAATGTTCACGACAATCGTCGTCCTCGTGACGATCATGTGATTGATAATGCGAAGCAAGATGAAGCTGTGCGAAATATGGTGAAATGGTCCATTGAGCAAGGAGGCTATATTCATCCATATGTCGAGATACGACGATGGGATCCTTCTGATCCTAGTAGTTATTTCGGTGCCTTTGTCAATGGGCCTGTGAAAAAAGATGAACTGCTCATCAAAATTCCCGGATCCATTGAGATTCAGATTGACGATTTTTTTAGAATGGGCAAGTTACCGTACAGCGATGTCGTATGTGAGTTGGCTTGGACGTTGAAACGGGAATATGAACTCGGGGAAGACAGCAAATTTGCTCCATACATTGAATACATCAAAACACAATCCAAATATCAAATACCGGCCATGTGGACCGATGTGGGCAAAAGCTTGATCACAAAAGTGCAGGGTGACCTATCAATGATGGACTTCGATTTGGAAGATACGCCCGGAGAGCACATGCATAACTGGATTTATGAATATTTTGGTGGAGAGTTGTGCTTGCTCGATGCAGACAATGAGGAAGAAATGGAGGAGTGGTATGTTGCCATGGCCACACAAAGAGGGTATGACTATTGTCTCATTCCGTAAGTTACAATAACTATATCCAATACCTTCACACAACATATTCTAATTGTCACTCAATTCCTGTTTGCAAATTCTATCCAAAGAATTTACGATATGCTCAATCACAGCAATGAGCGTGTAAATAGCATAACTCGGCCGTCGATATACAACAGGGATGGCTTTGGTGTTTATGCCCTGGAAGACTTGAATGCTGGGGACGAAATATTGTACTCTTACTATGACTGTCCCGACTGCAAGGGCTGTCCAACCTGTGGAACCAGCTTAGAATATTGGGGAACACCCGAAATGATTCGAGATTTTGGCTTTGTTGAACCATATCCACACCGGTTTTACTACGACGACATGGGTCCCGTCTATTTGAGAGTCGATGAGCATCCAGATGGGCTTGAGATTAGTAATGAGGGAGGAGAATGGCCCGAGATTGAATGGATTGAATCTCAGATTGCGAGATTGAAGCCAATGTTCGAGAGAGATATTTATCCACTGAGGAATGTATTGCCATCGCATGAGCTCGAAACAATTGTCAACTATCATGGCTCGCTCTTGGACTTTTTTACGGCCTACCAGGAAGTTGATGCCGCGGATAGCAAAGATGAGAATCATGGAGAAAGTGACACTGGCAGAGATGAAGACCTCTCAGATGGAGGAGAAGGAGATGCCCCCCACTGCAGAAGCAGATGACAAAGAGTTGTCATTCTAGTGCAAAAGCTATCATAGTACGCATAAGATGTACCTATATCGTCCTCCAAATGAAACCTTCTTATCGTCATATCCCGAGGCAGCAAAAATGACAACCAGCTAGTATATTACCACCATCGTGGTCGTCAAGGTTGTGCTGGTCTTTCTTATGTTGTCGCCATTTCCATAGTTGACATCAGTGCCCTGAATCAGTCTCGGTAGCTTAAAGTATAGGCAAAGGGGGGCATTCACGTGACAAAGTGAAGAGGGGACGGTACTGTACGTACACGTGTACTGCACTGACAATACCGATACTGTAGTATGCTGTAGGCTATTATTAAAAAGGTAGGATCCAGAAACTGTGACGTCCTCCTGTCTGTCAGGGATTTATCGGTCGTGTGAAATTGACAATATATTTGTCGCGTCGCATTTTTCAATTTTCAATAATAATACAGTATACCGTACAATAAGAGCAGAAGCAACAGGTGAATGAATGATGACAGCGATGAGCCTGGCGCATAGGGCTCTGGTTTCATTCTACCTCGCTATCTTGCTTCCCCATGCAATAGGAGCAGTCAAAGGAGGCCAGAATACCGGCGAAAAGAGGAGAACGAGGAGGAAAACACAAAACCTCAATCTCCACATTGACGATCACGTCATCAATTACGCCAAGCAAGATGAAGCTGTGCGAAATATGGTGAAATGGTCCATTGAGCAAGGAGGCTATATTCATCCAAATGTCGAGATACGACGATGGGATCCTTCCGATCCTAGTAGTTATTTCGGTGCCTTTGTCAATGGTCCTGTAAAAGAAGATGAACTGCTAATAAAAATTCCGGGATCCATCAAGATTCAGCTTGACGATTCCTATAGATCAGGTACTGATCTCACTTACGCCGATGTCGTATGTGAACTAGCGTGGACGTTGAAACGGGAATATGAACTCGGGGAAGACAGCAACTATGCTCCTTACATTGAATATATCGAGACACAATCGAAACATCAAATACCGGCTATGTGGACCGATGTAGGCAAGCACTTGATCACAAAAGTGCAAGGTGACCTATCGATGATGGACTTCGACACAGAGAGTATATCTGGAATACATATGCATGATTGGATTGATGACTACTTTGGTGGAGAGTTTTGCTTGATCGACACAGAGAGTGGGGAAGAAATGGAAGAATGGTATGTTGCTATGGCAACACAAAGAGGTTATGACTATTGTCTGATTCCGTAAGTTATTGCAGTAATCATGCTCAATCCGTTCCTCAATGTGTGCTGTTGACTGTTGTCGGATTGCCGCTCAAATCCTGCTTTTTGGACACTGGTTGTATGTTCATGCACATGCTGTCTTTAAAGAGTCTATGATATGCTTAATCATCACAATGGGATTGTTAACAGCATAACTCGGCCGTCCATTTATGACAAGGATGGTTTTGGCGTTTATGCCTTGCAAGACTTGAATGCTGGGGAAGAACTGCTGTACTCTTACCATAACTGCCCGGACTGTAAGGCTTGCCCAACCTGTGAAACGAGTCTGGACTACTGGGGAACGCCCGAAATGATTCGAGATTTTGGCTTTGTCGAACCATATCCACAACGTTTTTATTATAAGGACAGGGGCCCCGTCTACCTTAAAATCGACGAAACACCACGTGGATTTGCGATAAGCAATGAAGGAGGGGAATGGCCCGAGATTGAATGGATCGAATCTGAGATTGTGCGACTGGAACGCTTGTACGAGCAGGACATTCATCCTCTGAGGAATGTGTTGCCGCTGCATGAGCTCGAAACAATTGTCCATTATCACGAGTCGCTATTGCAGTTGTTTATGGCCTACTACGAGGCTCATTTGGCGGAAAACCATGAACTGGATAGCGAGGATAATGAAAGCGAGAGCGAAGATGAAGAATCCTCAGACGACGAAGACGATGTCCTCCAAAAGTTCGTCAATGCCGAGAAAGAAGAAGAAGCAGAAGATGCCGATGAATTTAGTACAGAATTGTGAGATCAAGATACATATCAGAATCGCAGAGGATGGCATGAATGGAAAGAGACGAATCTCAATTTTAGGTCAGAAGTGGGTCAATTTGACCAATGAGATCGACAACGGTCCTACATCGATTCCACTAGTAAGTATTCTGGCCCGTCGTTGTGAAGCTATCATAGTCTCTCCGCTTGTCGAAGAAGATAGACCAGCGTGTAATGGCTTTGCTTCTGTGAGCTGTGAGCTTTCATTAGATATTATGATGCAGCTGCCACCCCTACATTGGGATGCTCAACAGCTCTGACTTCGTCCGTGCCGTTGCTGCTATCTCCAACTGCTACAATGAATTCCTTCAGCCAAAATGGGTCAACCAAGAATAACTCCAGTTGTTTCCTCTGTTATTGCTGTACCGGTATTAATACATGCAGTGGTATTATCTTCGCTTCTTTAACTCACAGCTTGAACGACTAATATGACCTGTTTTGGAGGGAAAACTGCGCGCCTAGCTAATGTCACGAGGATTATAACGCTCGGCACGCGTTTTTGAATTCACAACCTGCATGATCCGCCGATACGAAGAATTTAGGAATCATCTCCACTAATAACTATATACGACATTCACCACCGTTTCATGATTCATTGTTGTTTCAGGTGTCATCACATCATCACATCAGCCATACCGGTACATCAACGATATAAACAGTGAAATCAATCCCACCATGCCGAATAAGCTTATTGGTTTCCTCGCTCAACTTGGGGCTCTTCTTTCAGCTGAACAAGAACCAATTGGGCCTGATTATGCCAGACAAGATGAGACAGTAAAGGAACTTGTAGATTGGTCCACGTCCAAAGGCGGGTTCTTTCATCCTCATGTACAAATCCGACGATGGAATCTCTCCGATCCTACCTCATATTTCGGTGCCTTTCTCAATGGGCCAGTGAAGAAGGATGATTTGCTCATGAGAATACCAGGAGACATCAAGCTTCAGTTGCACACCGATTTCTGGACGAACAGCTCTATTGTCGATGAAGTCGTATGTGAATTAGCGTGGCTTCTCAAGCATGAATACGACAATGGAACCAAAAGCATCTACAAACCCTATATCGACTACATCAAAACTCAATCAAAGCATCAGATTCCGGTCATGTGGAGCACCAAAGGCAAAAAGCTGTTGGAAAAGGTTCAGGTCGATATTGATTTGCGTGATCTGAACGCGGATGAAGACAGCGGAAGCCATTTCCACAACTGGATTGATCAATGGTATGGTAGCGAGGACTGCCTCTATGATACAGAGACAGATCAAGAACTAGAAAAATGGTTCTTGGCAATGGCACAACAACGAGGCTACGACTATGCTCTTATTCCAATCTACGACATGCTGAATCACGATCCAGGGAATGTCAATACCATTACTCGTCCATCCATTTACGACACGAATGGCTTTGGAGTATACGCACTACGAGATATGGAAGCGGGAGAAGAATTGCTGTATGACTATTACGATTGTCCGGATTGCAAGAGATGCGAGACTTGTGGCTCGTCATCTAGCTATTGGGGAACACCCGAAATGCTTCGGGATTTTGGTTTTGTAGAAGCGCATCCACACAAATATCATTTCTATGAAGGTGAACTGTCGGTGACGTTAATAATCGATAAGGATAGGGACGATGGGTCCTATAAAGTTTCTTGCACGAACAAGTGCCCAAGCACCAAGGAGATTGAAAGGCATTACAACAAACTCCTTCCTTTATTGGAGAAGGACATACTACCACTCAGCGAAACGTTACCATCGGATGAATACTTTATGATTAAGATGTACTATGATACTTTGGTGACCGACTTCAAGCAGTACCTGGACCACCCAGAGTCTGCGATTGTCACTCGCGTCAAGTATGATACCCCCCCTGACAAAACAACTTTCGAAGCTACCACCACTGTCAGAACCAGTACAGCTGGAAAGGGAGCTGATCTGTAGCATTTCCTAAAGAAAGAGAAATAGAGAACTAGAGCTATCGCAGATACATAACATTTATAGTGAATCTACTGCCAGTATGTGATGTATTGATATCTAAAGCATGAAGTCAATCGGGTTGGAACTGGGATCACTTGCCGCCAATTGGAAGACGTGTTCCACAAATTTCATGGATCGCTCCGTAGCACCTTCTTGTTTCAAACGTTCCAACTGAGTTTCACTAATTCCCTTCCAATTCATGCTCAAGTCGGCTTGTCCGGGAGGCCTGAAACGCTCCAACACTGCAGCATTAATGTAGACTTGATCATGACCATAACCACTCATGATCCATTCTTCGTTGCGTTGTGGCTCTTCTGTCTCTGTCTTCGCCTCTTCTTCTTTTGCTTCTTCTTCCTTTTCTTCTTCTTCGGGCGGAGGGACATAGATAGGAACCGGTGTTGGGCGATTGGGATTGGGGCGAGTAGGCGGGCGCGGACGGGCTCGTCGCTCCTGGCTCCATTCGCACTGGATTCCACCCTTCAAGATTACCATGTATTCGGAATCAAACCACATTTCCAACTTCCAACGAACATTATCATTCCACGATGTTCCAAACTGCTCTTCCCATTCCACTCGAGCATTTAGCTTTCGTTCTTCGGCATCAAAGGTCATGTTGGTAAACTTGACGCGGGTGGGTAATGGAGTGTCGTCATCCAGAGAAGGCAGGGAGCTACACGAAGGATGCTCATAGGACACATATGAATTTTCAGGACTCAAAAAGTGATAGGATGCGCTTCCCGTGTAAAGTCTCTTGCAAAAGACATTGCCCCACAACGAAGTCCCATTGTATTTTGGGATTCCAGTTGATACATCGCTTCCATCTTCTTGATACTGTTGGTAAAGCATTTTATCTTGTCCCGAACCAAATACAATCACCCGTGGTATTGGAATCTTGCCAATGGTTTGACGTGTCCAAATCAATTCCTCAAAGTGTTGACTGGTGGTTTCCCAGACAATCTTGTGGCCAACTTCGACGCCCAGTGGGACATTGTCAAAATCAATGTAACCCAAAAGAGCCCGCTGATAATGATCTGACTTGGGCCACGCAATTTTGGGAGTATTTGGATCATCACTAAAGTCTAGATAGAAAGTATAGGCACCCTGAACATAGGCATTGGAAGCAACAGTGATATCCATGGTTTGCAGTTCACCATTCTTGTCCAGTGGATGGCGCTTCTTTTTTCTCCATGTGACCGTCCATCGTCCATCTAGTGGATAGCCTGCTAACTCTTGCTGCTCCTTTTCCAATTTCTTGACGCTGGAGGGTGTTAATGCGCTGGGCCAGTCCCGTTTCATGTACACCCGGCCACCACTTAGAAAGCGATAGGAAGAATGGAATCCAAGAACGACATCCCACTCGTAGGCTCCTCTCAATCGAGAAGGCCACTTGATCTTTCCATGAAAGGTTCGAGAAGGCATATGGAAGTGACACGAGTCGGGTTCGAAGAAGACTACCTTTTGCGCCATCTCACCATTGGCAAGGACCCATCTTTCTGGATGCGATTGAATCGACCGATAGATGTTCAGAAAAGGAGTATTCTCTGTCTTTTTATTCTTGAGTCTCGCCCAGTCCCAATGAAAACTGAGTTGTCCAATCTTGCCCCGATATGGATGGTATACTTGATGCTTCAATGGGAAATCAGAACGTTCGTAGTATTTCTTGTCGGGAGGATGCAAGAGTTCCCCAGTTTCCCTCAATGAAATTTCAAAAAGCGAAAGGCTGGTTCGACAAATAGGACAACGTCCTAGTGTCGGAGCATCCAAATGAGCATCTGAAACGGATAGTGGAGGCCACCGAGTCTCCTCCCCATATGCATTGACCACACGTTCCATACATGGGACACAAAAGGAATGACCGCATGGTCCTCTGGCCATTGTGTCTGGATCTGCCAAACAAATAGGGCACGATTTATCCTCATTTTCTTCCATCTCAGCAATATTTGCAGGAGAGGTGTGTGGTCGATCCAATGTGTTGGGAATTGCAATCACCTTTTGAAACCCATCATCCGAGGAACTGGGAGCTTCAGACGAAGAAGAGGATGAGGAAGATGACCTTGAAACCTCTGCGGAAGCAGCGGATGCGTCGTCGTCTTCATCTTTCTCATTTTCTTCAATTTCATTGTCTTCGTCATCTTTCTCAGATTCTTCAACTTCAGCACTAATGTCAACTTCAGAGTCGTCAACTTCGGTATCATCCGCATCATTTTCCGTCTCATCAACTTCAGTATCGTCCACATCATTTTCAGCCCCATCAGCTTCCTCGTCTACTTCGGTTTCATCGTTTTCCTCGTCTTCTGCAACAATGTCAACTTCAGACTCGTCCAAATGACCGGCTTCACTTTCACTAACTTCAGGATTGTCTTCCTTTGGTTTAGTCAACACTTCAGGAAGGGGGTTTTGCAGCAACGCTTGGATTTGACGCTTAGGCAGCTTCATGATCTGGTCCACGGTGGCGCCGACGGTATTTTCGTCAAATGCTGGAGCAGTCAATAACTTTTTCGTCACTAGTTCACGAATTTTCTTCATCTTTTCCTGCTCCTGCGGACTCATTTCCGTTTCATCTTTCTGCTCAGAGCCTTCAGCTTGCTCTTGTGCGCCATCCTCATCATCAGACACGGCTTTTGGAATGCTCCACCACTCCATGGACACAATAATTGTCTTTCTCCACTACTTGTCTCCCAAAGTGACTCTATTTGTAAGAGGATGATGGAATAGGTGAGAAGATGATTTTTGGCGGGACGAATGGCAAACTGAAGTTGAAAGTATGTCTTCCCTGGAACTAGAATAGTGCTTATATGCATCTACGTACGCAAAATGTACAGTACTACCGGTATGTATTGACCCCGCTTTCGGCATCTATGCGTCCACTGCCTCTACAGTGTCCAAGACATCATCCAACAAGTCCAAAACATCTGGAGCCCCTTGCTCTGCCCAAGCTTCCGTAATCTGCTTGGCTTTACTGTTGTCTTGTTCTTCAGCGGCATTGAGATCTCCAGTAAGCGCATGAAGGATATCACTGACATGGTATTCCTTCGAAATCATTTGCGCCTTTGTCAACTTCAAATCCAATTCTAGCTTGCTCATTTCCGTAGTCATATCACCATAGTAGAGTTGCCATTGGCTGATCTCCCATTTGAGATTAGCATTCGATACCATGTCGGAACATGACAATGGCTTCTTGGTCATGGGACAAATATCGCCATTCTCGTCCAACCATTTGCTAAGAGCAGCTCTTTCAAAGTTGTGCCCTGTCTTGGTCATGACTGGATCCTCCATTATTTCCCTGGTTAGTGGACAGAGGAATTTCTTCTCCGGAATTGCGGCTGTCACGGACGATGACAATACCGCTACCGCATGATCCTCGTCCAACTCCACGACTGCAATTCCATTCTTCTTTGCCCAATAGTCAATCTTGAACTTGAGTGCCTTATCGCTAATGATATTGCTGACGCGAAGAGGGTTTCCGGTGACAGGATCCATTTTATTGCCATCGTTCAACCAATCCATAATGGCAGAACGTTCGTAATGAGTCCCATATCGAGTAACGACAGGATCGTTCATCATCTTCTTGGTGAGAGGGCATACGTATTCGGAAGGGATCTTTGTCATGGTAGCTAGACTAGAGATGATATGGCGTGTATCGGTATCGGTATTGAAGAAGATGAGACAGAACAGGAGGAGACGTTGATGGTTTTTACAACAAACAAAGATGTCGACAATTTTTATTTTCCAGTGCCAAATGCTATCAGTTCGGATCAAAATGACCAAAGAATGACTTCTACTTATCGCGAAGAATAGATCGAGTGTTCCATTGATCGCTTCGATGAATACCAAATTCTTCATGGTCCTTTCCAAAGACCCCTTCGACACTTCACGAGTTCCTTAAGGTTTTTCCAACAGATAAGTCATTTGCATAAAATCATTAATTGGTGGGGAAACAATCCCAAAGCGCAAAGAATTTGCTCCAATCAGTTAGGAGCCTTTTTGTCAACATCGGAGTTATGAAGGTGCCAGAAGGGTACCGGTAGGTACGAATACCGCATTCATTCAAACGCCGAAGTTCCGGGTACCCACGATATGTACAACAGAAGTAGGAGGTACCTACGAGTAGCTACTATGGAGCTACAGTAGCATCACATCGGTACTGATCAAGAGATACAACATACAAAGATTATGGGCTCGCGTTTCTTCCGATGACGTACTGTACAAATAATATAGTTTGAAATGAATGCATGGCCCATTCATTCCTTCAAATAAAAATTGCTTGGATAGAATCAATCAAATTCGATGGCAGCAATGGCAACAATATATCGTATTGGAGGTGATGCTTAACGTCGGTCTTACTGTCCACGCTGAATCAGGAGGTAATATATACACATAGATGACGAGTTATTGGGGGAAACTGTGATATGTGTCAATATACCAACAACAAGGAAGAAATGAAGAACTTGCTAAGAGACGGTTTACATCAAAGTATTTGTACTGTTGGACTGAAACGGAGCAAGCAATACCCCATGCCAAAAAATCCCTTCTCGTTTCCTAATATTGGCCGATACATAAACAATCTACCGGTACCGACAACATCAATTCGAAGGTCGGCGTCCTGTATCGTTCTACTCCTTCTTCGCGGGAGTCTGCTGAGAAGAGTTTCAAGTGGCCCAAATTATATACAGCTGCCGCACACCAGGTGAAGGTCGGAAGGAGTTAATTAGCTTGCTGGCTTTCTGTATCCGCAAGAGAATGAAGGGTTCCTGTTGGAGGCAGTCAAGGCTTGACTCGTTCATTCAGACTAGCGATTTCTTCATGAACTGTTCGTAGCTTCCCCGAAACAGATTTTGCACTTCATCGCGAACTTGTCTTCTTGTGATTTGCATGCACCCTGATTCCATCAGTTTTACAAACTCCTCTGCCACCACTTTGGCAATGACAGCCCTCGAATGTGGCCACTTGTATAGCAATTGATCCACGACACGAGCATCGCTGTGCTGTGCCGTGAATGCTGTTCCCAGAAATTCCATTCTCATTTTTGTAATCTCTCGAATGATACTAGGATTGTTACAATACCACCAGCATCCATATAGGTGAAGGTTGCGGAACTTTGAAGCTAGAACGCAAGCCTCGTGTTGATTGTTCCGAGAAAGAAAGGTTGCAAGAAAGCGCACTTTGGGAAACCGAGTGCAGAGACGAGCAATCATACCTGCATCGGCAAAGGCAACCACTCCATCTCCAGCTGCTTTGAGCCCTGGATTGACACCGCGATGGGCACCGATTTTCAATGCAACCGGCAAATCTAGTTCCTCGCAAACTGGCATGAGTACTTGGCTGAGAAAGTCACTTTGCTCGTCAATGATACTTGGAGCTTCATCTTCTGGTGGTGAACAATTGGCGGCATGGGATGCTACCGCAGGTACAAAGGCAAATGGCTCTTTCAAGGCGTTCGAGTCGACAGTGTTCTTTTGTTTGTAGCTGACAGAAGCAAGTGTCCCTTCTGGGATGACAAAATCATGAGGAGTGGATGCCATCATGTACTCGGGCTTCATGGTCTCACACCAATCCCGAAGATACTGTCTGGCACTCTCCAATGTGATATCATATCCTGACGATCGTAATGCAGCTTCAATTGTTGGTTTGTCTCCAGCCAGCAATGGGTCGACCCGCAGCGCTGAACGAAATCGAGTCGAATAGGAGGCTCGCTTTGGTTTCCAATACATTTCTTCATTTGGGTCAAATGGAATGTTTGTCATGATGCTGCATCAAAGAGAAAAGACATGAGTGATATTGCGCCAACGACGCGATGAATGAATGAATCAATGAATGAATCATGCGATCGTTGGACTTACGAATATTCAATTCCCGAGTTGGCAAAGACGTGCTCGCAGAAGCGTTCTGCTCCCTCCACTCCATCATTTCGAAAGGTGGCATAGAACGCTCGGATCGCCTTCAAGGAACGACGTTCCCATTCGTTTTGGAGTCCCAAACTCTTCAAGGTGGTAACGATTCCTCGGCATGCTTCTGAAAGAGGTAGACGGTCAATGAACAAGGCTTTCCATATCGTGTCTGCTTGCTTTTGCTTTGGGAGTGAATAGAATAATTTGGGTGTCATCGATGCTGGTGCAGTGATGAAATATTCGGCTACAAGATAATGCTAAAGTGTTCGGGGGTGAGGAAAGATTCATTCATTCGTTCATTCATTCATATACAGGCTCCGGTTGTTTTTTGTTCCCTTCCTTCCGAATTGTCGTAACTTACATAAGTGAGGAGTTCATCGATTCCCCACAGACACAGCGGTCCATGCGTCGGTGGCAGGAGGTGTGTGTGCAGATCAATCCCGACAGCCCTTTGCACTTCTGCTGCTACCACCAATTGGATACTGTCTTGTTGGTCAAGGTTCGTATCCAACAAAGCACTAGAGGAGGGAAGGCACTCCTTTTGGAAATGCAAGGGTCGGCCATGATTCAAGGAGGCCATCAAGTCTTGATTCAAAGTCGAGCAGAACTCAGTGCAGGGCGTATCCAGACCAAAACCATTGGGGTTGTTCACTTGTTCTTTTCCAGTCAACTCGGACAAGATAGCAATAATGCCATCGTCAGCCATGAGGCGTGCATATAGGACTGAAATGGAGGCCACCAAAGCATGCAGTTCAGTCTTTTCGGTATTGCTCTGGATACTAAGTCTGCGTCGTTTTGAATCTAACTGCCTATACTGTGGAACCAACACTGATCCGTTGTCCAAATACTTTTCAGAAGATTCTAAGTAGGTCCATACAACAGATTGGCATGATTCTGGCTGTTGATTCGAGGAATGAATAAGTGCCTCAACCCCTAACATCCGAAGGGCATAGGCGAGGGCCAACGTGACAGGGAAGGATACTTTTGTTGTATTCATCAAGTCAATTGTAAGTGACCACAGAGCCTTGTCGAGGTTCCGGTCTTTATCTGCCGGAAATCTATCAGCTTCATCTTCCAAATAATGCATCTTCAAGTCAATTTCGTCGGCTGTCAGCTTGGAGAGTTCGTCAATCATCGTACTTATTTGAGGATCGGTTCCAGACAACGCCGCAAAGGAAGTCAAGAACGTTGAGAAAAGATTTGACCGTATGTCGATCGTGCTGCCGCTATGATCACCAAGAAGTATTGCGGATGATGCGAGACTTTGGAGGAGTGGTTTCATTATTGTGGACGATGATGATGTCATCCTGTACTACGTTCTCGTCCAGTACTACAGTACCGTTTTGATGTTCAGATCGCCTCGTTTTTTTTTTAAAGTCTCTCCTATTAGCTGAAACTTGACGTTGTTGAATGTAACCTCAAGAATCCAATGGGTACGAGAGAGTGTGTGCTGGTAATGGTAATGGTCGACAACTATATTTCGCTATCATCATCGTTCTGATGATATGTGTGTGCGTGCATATACCTGTGATGATCGAAGTTGAAAGATCGCATCTGAAGCTAACGTATAAAGGCTATCTCAGTACTGTATTGACTACGTTGACTAAAACACGTCACAACATCATCATCATCAACAATAATATCAACATCTGCCATATACTCGTATATCCGATGATTGATTCACTCCCAAACTAGCTATTACCGACGACAATATAGACAGCATCCAAAGCGAGACTTAAACACCTTCACCTTCAGAACATACATACATTGAACATTCCTCAACAAGAACAGAGCAGCACGATTGATTCATTCGAGTTGTCAATACAGTAATACATATAACGATGAGACTGACCATAAGAAATACAGTTCTACTTGCACTGATCGGGTGCATGATGAGTCCAGAAGTTAATGCCTTTACCTCAACGACCAAGAGTTCAGCCAATACAGATCCTGCTGTCCGACTGTATGGTATGAAACGTCCCATCATCGATCAAGTCGCATCGACGTTGTTTCAACTGGAAACCAGCCGAGTCGAAGCGTCGTCTGTGGTGGATGACCAAGGCCGCAAAGGAGAGCCCATGGAATGGAGTGAATCAGATTCCATTGCCAATCGTTTTTCTCAAATTGTCCAAAACAACGAATTGGGGTACCGATTCAAACAATTTGTGGCGGATATTGTTGCAGGTCAGGAGTATGATCATGAAGCAACCATAAAAGTCATTGATGAGTTTGTATCTTCCACCACCACCACATCCACCAATAACAAGCAGCAACCATCCATTTTTGGCAACTTTTTTGCAGGAGCTGGCGGCAGCCGTAAAGGAGCACCACCAGTTGCCATGTTCTCGTTTACTACCTGTCCCTTTTGTCGTCGAGCCAAGGATTATCTCGACGCCCAAGGCATTCCCTATGTATCCATGGAGTTGGACGAGTTGCCTGGAAATCAAGGGAATGAGATTCGTGCCAGTTTGGGGCGCAAGACTAGGCGCACGTCGGTTCCATCCATCTTTGTGAGGGGAGAATACGTGGGAGGTTGTAACGATGGACCAGGATTGCTACCACTTGGGGAATCTGGAGAGCTTCAACGCATATTGGAGGGATAACTGCTTGATAGCTCCACATTTCAAGAGCAAAGGCAAAGCTGAATGTATTATAAAACACTAACGAGTAGAAACCCAGTGTACTTTCATGGCCCCATTTTCTCTGTTCTCTCTTGGAATTGAATGCATGGCGCGGGAGACTCACTCATTCCGAATAGTAGCCACACCAATCTCATCATCATTGTGCCAGGGACAATTTCTATCCATAAGAGCTACAGTGAATGAAATAAACACTTATTTCTGTTTATTTTACAATGATTATTTGAATATATGTATTCGTACTCCTCACATGAAGCTTTTACTTTATTATATATTGTTATATATTGCTTTTTTACCAACAACAAACCAACCAACCAATCAGTCAATACTATGAGTAACAATTGTCTATCCACTGTTTCCCATTCCATTTGCTACTCCAGTAATAGTGGTGAGCAGAGCATCCTTCAAGATTCCTTCTTCTCCAGCCTCAGTCTTTCGAATGCGCTTGAGGGTTTCAGCCTGCAAAATATTCAAACAGTCCACATAGGGGTTGCGAACAAGAAGTGCTCGCTCCAAAATCTTATTGTTGGAGCCAAGTGTCTTGTGACCGGTAATGCCCAGAATGGCCTTTTCGGTGGCCAAGTGGATGGCACGGACTTCATTACCAAGTTCTTGTGCCTTGGGGTCATCGACAAGCATATCGTCATAATGCTTGGCAATGTCTGGTTCTGACTTTGCTAGCACCATTTCGACCAAATCAATCATGGTTCGGAATGAATCATATCCCTGGTACATGTCCTGCAAGACCTTTGCCTTTTGGTCATCCTTTTGGGTTTCCTCAATGGCAGCTGCAATACCGAGCCAAGTTGGAAGATTGCAACGAGTTTGCGTCCAGGCAAAGTTCCATGGAATGGCTCGCAAACTTTCGACTCCTCCCGTTGGGTTTCTCTTGGCAGGACGAGACCCAATGTTCAAATTGGCCAACTCCATTTCGGGTGTCGCCTTGCGGAAGTATGGTACAAAGCGATCGTCGTATCGGACAATCTTACGGTAGGCTTCGCAACTGATATCGGAAAGCTCCGTCATGAGATCCAGCCATTCCTGGGGTGGGGATTCGCGTTTGGTGACCTTCTCGGATAGAACGGCAGCCGTGTACACATCCATGGTACGTTCGGCACGGTCGCCATGACCAAAGTTCTGTTGAATCATTTCACCTTGTTCGGTCACTCGGAATTTTCCTTGGATCGTATTGGGTGCGTGCGACATGATGGCGTCAAAGACTGCGGGGTTTCCACCTCTTCCGACGGTACCACCCTTTCCATGGAAGAATGTCACGTCAACTCCAGCATCCTTGGCCAAATTGGCAAGATCGGTTTGGGTCTCGAATTGTGCGTAAACGGCACTCAAACGACCAGCATCCTTAGCCGAATCAGAGTATCCAATCATGATTTCTTGCTTTCCGTTGATAAAGCCCATGTATACTGGTAGCGAAAAGAGCTTTTGCATGGTATCATGTGCACCATTCAGATCATCCAAAGTTTCAAACAAGGGAGCGACTCGAAGGGGTTTCTTGACTCCAGCGTCCAATTGCAACAAAAGAACCGCCAAGACATCACTGGCATGTGTTGCCTGACTAATGACGTAGGCTCCAAGACTGTCTTCACCTTGTTCGGCCACCATTTTGGCAATTTCCAAAGTATCACATGCCGTTTCAGTAAAGACTTCGGGGTGTTCGTGCCAGACTCCCGATCGTAGTAGTGGTCGTTTGGAGGCAATTTGTTGGCAAAGCCATTCAATTTTCGCTTGTTCGTCCCATTCCGAATAGCTTCCCAATCCCAAATATTTGGTAGTACAATCGAGGGCCTCCTCGTGTCTTGTGGATTCCTGTCGAATGTCGAGAGGAATGAGAGTCAATCCAAAGGCCGAGAGCTTTCTCAAAATGTCTGTGATCATGCCTCCGGACGCAAATTCATTGTTGGTGGCAGCCAGAGAGTCTTTAATCAAGAGGAGTTCGTCATAGAACTCCTTCTTTTCGACATAAATTTCATCGACGGAGACCTTGTCAAGATGACGGGCGGTAGGATGTTCCTCGTCCAAGTGGGCAAGTTCTTGTTCGGCCCAAGCTTGGGTGCGGTGGAGTTTCTCAATCATGGGCTTCAAAAAGACACGGTAGGGTTCACGAACGTCCCCGACAACTCCTCGGAGCTCGTCCGAACATTTGGTAATGGATAGTTCCTTGGAGAGCTTTTCCAAGTCTCTGGCAAACAAGGACGCAGCCTTGGCGCGGTTGCGCAGACACACCTTGCGGGTGGTATCGGGTTTGACATTTGGGTTACCATCTCGGTCTCCTCCCATCCAACTGGCAAAGCGAATTGGTTTGGAGGCGAGTGGCAAAGTCTTGCCGAGGAATTCTTCCGTGGTAGCATTCAATTTCCTCAAAAAGAGGGGGACAGCGTCCCAAAGAACGGCTTCAATGACAAGCGTTCCTCGTTCGGCTTCGTCTTCGGGTGTCGGTTTGGCTCGAGAGACTTCATCGGAAAGCCACAAACTCGAGACTTCGCGCCAGAGTGCCTTGTCGTACTCGGCTTGCAAAAAGGAGTTGCCTCCTCCGGTGGCTCGGAGTCGATCGGAATTGGTCAAAATCTCTTGGATGCGCTTGTGCTTGTCCAAAGTCGTCCGACGATTGACTTCGGTCGGGTGGGCCGTCAAGACGAGCTCGGTCGTTTGGTTGCAGAGAGCCTCAAAGATCTCGTCGGCGGGGATGCCAGCATCCAACAAATTCGGAATGGCACCCCCGATCGAGTCCGGTTTGGGATAAAAGGCACCCCCACCAGCAACGCCATCTTCCAACCCAGTATCTTTCAATCGGCGAATCCGATGGTGGGCTTCGGCCGCGTTGGCAATGGCAAGGAAATGAGTAAAGGCCCGGCCAATGGTGTAGAGTTCAGCGTCACTGAGCTTGGAAGCAAAGGAGCCAAGCTCTTGGAAACTGACTTGATCTCTGTCAGGTCCCTTGTCGCCTCGCCATTTCTTGGCCAAAAGTCGCATGGTTTCAACTTTTTCATAGGTTTCTTCGCCTTCGTTTTCCACGATGATCTTTCCTAGAATGCTTCCCATGGTGCGAATGTCACTTCGAAGAGAAGCGTCCTTGTCGACTTCATCGATACTCGTTGCAGAAGCATTCAAAGGCTGCACTGGAAAGAGGGAAGGCGAAGGATCTGAAAAGGATGACAAATTGGAACCTCCTGGGATGGTGGAGAGGACTCTTGTCAATGAGGAGGCAGGAGCAATGAGTGCTGCTGTTGCTGATGATGACGTTGTTTTGTTCAAGCCAACGCTTCTCCTTGCAGCACCATTCCTTGCGGAACGAAGGAATGCTCGTGTCAACATTGTGTTTTGTATATACTGTTGTCGTCGTAGTATGGGAGCTTACAAATAAAAATATGAGTTCTTCTGCTATTCGACAAAAAGAAAACGACGGAAAAAAGAAAAAAAGATATTCTGGACGGAGTGAAATTTCGCACACGACGATCGTTCGAAATTCACGTACGGCGGTCGGCATTTCTGCCAAAACTTCCGATGAATGAGAATACTGCGATAAACTAGATGAGTGGTGGATGACCGGATGACGGATCATCGTCATTTTGCCGGACAGAACCCGGATTTTTGCCGTATCTTTGCGATTTCAGATTCGTGTGTCAGATATCTGATGACAACACTCGCTCTCCATACTGTTGAAAGCACACATTCAGACTGAAGCTTCCAGCATGCCAGTAGTCTGATTTGAAAGATAAGAGATATATCCAATAACAAAGAAACAATGGACCATGTGAAAAAGTATGCAAGAAACTTTCTTCATCGCATCTTTTCATCAAAAAGAACAACTACGACGACGACGACGACTGAAAATCAGAATGAGAACGAGCCATCCTCACAAGAAGCTTCGAGAAAGAGGGTTCGGCTGACCTTTTGTTACAGCGGACAACCTACGGAAGAGATTCCCAAAGATGTTACTCATGCCATCATGGATCCATCCGTAACGGAGCTTGGAATGTCAGCCTTTTTGGATTGCTACTTTCTTACGGAAGTAAATTTTCACGAAGGCCTTCAAGTGATTTATGCATCTGCCTTTCTCAACTGCCGAAAATTGAAAAAAGTTTCCATTCCATCGACTGTCAATTTCATTGGGGACTGGGCATTCCAACGTTGCGAGTCGCTCATGGACGTAATCCTTGCTCCACATGGACTGCTGAAACGTCTGAATCATGGACTATTTTCCGATTGTACGGCTCTCACCAAGATATCGATCCCAGCCACGGTGGAAGTAATTTGCAACTTTGTGTTTTCTGGATGTACCTCACTCATTGGCGTACGATTCGAGGAAGGGTTGCAAGAAATGGGTATGTCCACCTTTCGAAGGTGCACCTCGTTGAAGGAAGTGGTGCTCCCCCAATCGTTGAACAAAATGGGTGGTTGGACCTTTCATGGTTGTCAACAGCTGATAAAGGGCGGTCTCCCAACCACTTACCAGAAACTGGAAACGGGGACCTATGCCAATTGTATCTCGCTTCAAGAAATAGTCGTTGGGCCCAATGTAAAGGTCCTTGGTGACTCGGTCTTTTCCGGATGTACCATGCTCCAACAAGTAGGCCTTGCAGAGGGTTTGCAGTCCATTGGGGTATCGGCTTTTCAAAACTGTGTGGAACTTCAAGAAATGTCCATTCCTTCCACAATATCTTCCATTGGTCGGTGGGCCTTTCGGGGTTGTACGGGTTTGGTGGATATCGATCTTTCCAACAACAAATTCGACATGATCCAAGATTATTGTTTTGCCGAATGCATTGCACTCGAAACCATTGCCGCGCCACCAACGTTGAAGGCGATTGGCAAGTCCGCCTTTACTGGTTGCAAAGCCCTCAAAGAGGTTCGATTGTATCATCCTCATCATTATGAGATTACTAGTACTACTAGTAGTAGTAATAGTAGCATGGGCCTCCACAAGGTGGATGCGGCTGCCTTTAAAGGTTGTACCGCGCTCGAAAGGATTCCGTTTCCTCTCACGGTGAACTTTCTTGGTCGTTGGGCGTTCAAGGATTGTCACTCGTTATTGGAAGCCAACCTTCCAATTGGACTTACCTGTGTCGCCAGAGCTGCCTTTATCAACTGTACTTCCCTACGCAAAGTCAACACGAATGCGGTGGAAAAGATTTTGGAATCAGCCTTTTTCGGCTGTACCGCACTTGCGGACGTATATTTTGGTCCAACTTTGAAAGTCATTGGCAAAGAAGCGTTCAAGAATTGTCACTCCCTCTGCTCGATTGCCTTTCCGCTGTCTCTCAATACGATTGGTGCCAAAGCGTTTGGAAACTGTACCTCCTTGCTGGGTGCCGAATTTCCAAGAGGAATCCAGGTGAAGAATATCGACAATGCGAATTGTTTTGATGGGTGCACCAGGTTGGTCAATGTTTCCATTCCAAGTACCATGGAAGGAGTGACAAGCGCTGCCTTTTCCGGCAGCAAGATTGGACAAATGGTTGTTGTTGCTACTACTGCTGCTACTACCGCTAGTGCTACTGCTACTAATTCGGATCCTCTGAAGGAACGGTTTGGAGGAGACTTGTCCTTGATGGTCCACGATGTGTACTACAACGCATCTCTCATGCTGTTTGACAATCTAAAAGATTTTCCAAAAATAGTAGGAGTGGATGCCTTTGGCATGACACCGCTACATATTGCGGCCACTTCGGCAAACCTACAGGTCGATACTTTGAAACGTCTAGTATTGAATCATCGGTACCCTAGTACTACAACTACAACCACTGCTGCCGAAATGGTGGCGAAGAAAGATATCAACGGAAAAACCATGTTGGACTATTTGTTATTGAATCGCCGCAGCAATTCTGTGCCAGCAATCAAGATGGTGCTGAAGGATACATTAGCATTGCCGAGTGATGACACGACGCTTGGATGGGGCCTAGCCGAATGGAGATGGAATCTAAGTCATCGTTTGGAATCCCTCGAGCAATCCAGCATTAAAGACTTCCATCGATTTTTGGTCCATTGCATGAGGAAAGAAATGACATCGCTGATCGAGCTATCCTTGTGGAAGATGCGGTTACAAAACGAAATGGTTGAACATGATAATGGAGCCAACAATAACAACAACAACAACAACAAAGATCGAGAAGCATGCAAATCCATGTGTGGTGCTGAAGTTGTCATCAAGAATGCTATTCAATTCCTCTGGGATGACGAGAATTCAGTGGCTTTATCCTTGCCATTTGACATCATTACCTAATGATCACTGCCTTGTTCTATTTTAATGTACAACAATAATTATGTTATTAAGTTTCTGTCTCTTAACTCAAAAAGCCAGCCTTTAGACAAAAATCAACAAAGTCGTCCAGATTTCGATAGATTCTCATACTTTGACCCTGTTTCGATGCCCGGACAATCTCCAACCACTGAGATTGAATCGTCTTTTTGGACTTGCGTTGCTTTACCGACGCCAAGAAACGTCCAATGTCGGAATCCAACGAACCGTCAAATGCAAGGAATTGTTCGCCCAATTCGGTAATCTGATACCCAAACGGATTGTATCCAGCTGGAACCCAGCCACCACCACGATCAATCAGTTGAACGACTCTAAAAGCCAAATCAGTGTTGATGCTCAAAGTGTTGCATATTGATGAAGTTCCAAGGCAGCTATCCGATATCGCACTGCTGTCACAATAATCAGAAGAACCACCACGTGGAATCACCAGGATCCCACTTCTGTGACAAGAAGACGTTTCTGATTGTGGTGAAGATATTGCATCACATGACATTGCGGTTAATAGGATTAGAAGGACAGCAAGAATTCGTGTTATGATTGAAGTCATGATGATGGCTGTAGGACTATAATGCTAGTGACGGATGGAATGAATCCTGTCGTAATTATGATATGGTGAAAATGGAAAAACAAGCTCAAAGTGATGGCAATCTTTGACTGATACGACCGCTCTCTCGTGCGTCCGTGTGCGCGGGAAATCTGGTTGAAGACGATGAGCTATGTCGTGACGACGATGATGAAATTGTCGAATGAGTTTCTCATCATCCTCATGCTTCAAAATAACGACTAATTGAACAGAGAAACCATTGATGGTCACCAGTGAACAATATATCACTAGCATAAAGGAACGAGCATAAAGTAAAGCATTCTTCCTGCAAAGCTGATATAGCCAAAAGGGCAGAAGACAGACTGAGAAGAAGAATCAGCATCACATCATCCATCACCTCATCATACACAATTATGAATCATCGCACTTCTCAGGGACGAAGTGCCCTGGTACTCCTTCAATTCCTTCTATTCAATATTTGTCTGAGGTTCAGGACAGTTCAGTGTTTTCCCTTGTGCACTTCTTCGCTCTCAACTTCAGGAAGATTGTCAAATTCAGGTAATTCATACAAGTCTTATTCATCATCATCTTCACGGCATAGTGACACGAGATTAGATGAAAGCTATTGGATGATAATATCACGATCCAAAATACTGCGGCATCGGTCATCATTATTCACACAATTATACTCGACAGATTCCTTCAATAATGATGCGGGAGAAAACCTCAATGAAAATGCTACTGATAATAACGCCGGTACTGATAGTATTGGTATCGGAGAACGAGATTTGTATCAAATGCTGGATGCCTCCCCCACGGATTCCACACAAACCTTGAAACAAAAATACCGTGCCTTGGCAAGACAAACCCATCCAGATGCTCTCATTGGTACCAGTATCGACTCGGAATATCAACGAGAGCAGGCTTCCATTCAATTTGCCGAAATCACTGCTGCCTATAAGACTTTGAGTGATCCAAAGTCTCGTTTGCAATACGATCGTACCCTCAAGGCCAAGGAGTTTACAGACAACCTCGTGGACTCGTTGGAAGGTGGATTCCGAGTAGCCTTTAAAACGGCCTACCAAACGGCGGGAACGATTCGAAATGTGGGGGCGCAATTGGACAAGGCACGAGAAGACACGGCCTACCGTCTGGAACTGGCATCCAAGATTGCTCAATACAATACCCAGAGCAAGACCTTGAAACAGCGTTCGATGCAAGAAGACAACCGACGGAAAGAATTGCAAGAGAGATTGGACAATCGAGGAAGCCGGGAACGTCACCCTTGGCTGGAACAAACGAACAGTAACGACAAGTCCATGTCGTCGTACAAATACAAGGGCCCGAGTGGTAGCTCTTCCCAATCCCCACAGCTCCAACAAGAGCTTACCCCCGCCATGGCAAACGACATTGCCAAGAACTTGAAGCAAAAGTATCAGACTAGCAACAATAACAACAACGACAATGCAGCTAGTAATAGTAGCAACTTTGGGAATCCTGCCACTAGCAGTAAGGACGAGGGGATGGAGGAAACCTTGGCCAAGACGATTGATCGTCTGGCGCAAATCGAAATGGAATATCGAGAAAGCGCCCAAGCACATGTTCAAAGCCAAAGGGAAATGTCCAAAGCCCGAACGCAATTGGATCGGATTCAAGAACAAGAAGAAAAGGCCTTGAAGGCTTTGGAAGCAGCTCAAATAGCCTATAACGAAGCCAAAGAAGCCACCCAACAGCAAGAACGCGAATATGGTGAAGTATTGAGACAAGAACGGCTCTCGTATTCCAACGTTGAAAAGTCCAAGAGTACATTGACTCGCCAACAAGATCGTACCAGGGAAACCTTGCGGCAAACGGAAGACATGTACGTGTGGAAGGAAAATTCGTGGCTTCGAGACGAAGCTCGCAAGGCCAAGTCACTAGCCCACAAGCTCCGAGAGAAATCGGTCGAATTGGAAAGAAAGGCAAACGAATTGAAACGAGAATTGGATTCAATAGGAAAAACAGATCAATAAAATAGAACCATATCAAAAAATTGATTTGATTTGATGTATTTTGAAAGTGTTTCGAGAGACGAGGGGGTATGACCTACTGCAGTACTTTGTTCGACTGTCTAGTGTTATTGCAATAGCCCAGTTGAATAGCTGACTATTATGCTTCTAATATATGACGATTCTCATGATTCATTCCTTCAGCCAATCAATGATCAAGATGAAATCCAACGGTCAATTCATCCAAAAGGAAGATGCCCCATGAACGGGCGATTTTTCCAGTTTTACTCTCCATCGAAAAAATTGGGCATGGACATGTTACTCTTTGCTCGGTAGAGTGATTTCTTGACCTTGGTTTTGGGAGGTTTCTTGCCATGCTTTGACTTCTTGGGGCCACTGCCCAACAGGGCTTGTGCCAACAACGGGTTCACTTTCGTCTTGTTGCTACCAGACGCTCCAAAAGAAGCATTCTTGTTGGAGGATGAGGGTTGCTGCAAGGATGACGATGTCGTGCCGCCAGTGGTGGCCGTACCAGTGCTTTCCTCCGAGATGGTGGCGTCTTCGGTCTTTTTTGTCAAGTCCGCCATGCTGTCGCTGGATTGATTCTTCTTGCCAAATCCCATGAGGTTTCGGAAGGAGGAACCAGTTTTTTTGGAGATGGAGGGGATCTTCCCCAAGGAGTTCTTGCGTGAAATGGCGGACGCGTCACTGAAGGTAGTGGTTCTTGGGAGTGGCATACCAGATGCCCGTTTGCTGTTGGTGGCCACCAAACTGGTTTCGACCTTGAGGATCTTAACGACCTTGGAAAAGTTGGGACGACGGGTATGTTCGCCATGCCAACATTCCTTGACCAGCCGCCGCAAGGCAGTGGAAGGCATCTGCGACGATGACGGTCGCCATCCATTGATCATGATGGATTCGATGAATTCGTCACGGTCGTGAATGTGTTTGTAGGGCTTTTCCAATGTGGTCATTTCCCACAGTAGCACACCGAAGGAATAAACATCAGACGCAAATTCCGTAGGTTGGCCCAATGCAATTTCGGGGGCCATGTATCGAAGACTACCGGCAACTTCTTTTGGCTTGAGCGTATGAAATTCGCGGGCAAACCCCAAATCAAAAATTTTGGGAACCCCGTTCGTGTCGAAACCAACATTATCTGGCTTGAGATCACGCAAAACGACTCCTTGTGAGTGAAGATATTCCATTCCCTTGGCGACATCTACACCAATTGACTTTATTCTTTCTAGTGCTTCCGACGTGTTGGGTTTGTTGCTGTCCTTAATGCTGCCCATTTGTTGAGAGGGATCCCTAGTTTTTCTCATTTTAGGATTCTGAAGTCGATACTTGTCAATTTTGTTTCGAAGAGTATCAGCAAGCAAATCAATGACAAGAAAGTATCCACGTTCTGATTCCAGATAAGAATTTCTGACGCTTTTGCCATAGAATCCATGAAGTTTGATGACGTTTGGATGAGACAGTCTGGCAAGAATCGTTGCCTCGATAACTAGATCAACAGAACCAGTCTTGAAACTCTTGGTTCGGGCCATGGTGTTGGGACTTAGACATTTCAACGCAAATTCCTGATCGGCAATCGCAGGAGCATCTTCGTCAATAGATGAAACCTGAATTCCTGCTCGAAAGACTTGGCTGAAACCACCGTAACCAATTGTTGATCTGAGGTCAATATCATCCCAATCGAGCTGTAAAACGTCGTCCAAGATCTCCAATCTTGATCTTTCCACGAGACCTGTGATCTCTTCTTCGGCAATTATGCCCATTTGCTTACGACGGGCTCTGTCAATTTCCTCTTCACTCATTTTTTAGGTTGATTCTTTTGGCGTTTCAGCAAATGATTTTTTTAAATCTTGTGTTTAAGTTTAGTATATACTGTGGTGTTTGTTTCTGAGGCAATTGCAGGCAATCGGATGAAAAACGGCACTGCTAATTTACGTCGATGGCAGTAATGGGTAGGCAGACGTCTCCTTGGAGACTTGTGGGTGGCGCCAGACGTTTTCAACTAATGACCGGGGTCATGACCACGTTGTTTGAAAGACACCCAGTGCACTTGCTTTAGCGGATACCTGGTAATATCCATTGTGTAAAAACGCTTAGATAAAGTCCGAAAATCCGAAATCCTGCACTCGTTCTCCACAAAATTCCGGTCAGTTTCAGGCGGAAGTTTACTGCACGAGTACGTAGGTAACATGTAAAGGCTAGGGGCTGTCTTCTCACTATGGTATCATGTTCAGCCAATTCGACAAAAGATACAGCACCAATAGGAATCGGATAAGACCACATCACCTGGCAAAGATAAACCAATGAGATTTTGTTATATGCTTTAGTCTGTCTTAGAGTGTTTGGCACATTCACCAGGGACATATGAAAACCTGAAGTTTGATACGACATGATGTCGTGAAGCCGATGTACATATTCACACAAATGGTGTAGTTGATGACACATATATGTTCCCCCAAGTTCTTACAATACTGCGCATTCAAGGAATGCGATGATGATTTTTCACCAAGAAAACTCCTTTGGCAAGAATCTCTTCGGTTGGACTCATAAAAGAAACCTGAGTTTCATGAGTATTGGAATGCAACTTCATTTAAACCAGCAACCATGCTTGTAAACAGACTTTAGTTTCCGGGGCAGTTGAGCTTGGCGAAGACTGCATGTACATGACTCCTAACTATGTTCGCATTATTATCATCAGCAACAGTACAGCATCACCGCTACTCTGATGTTTATACGGTCGCGACGGGATGATTGGGTATCCTCTTCCACATGACATCTGGATGATTCATTTACCACTTTCCATCACTGGAATACTCTCCATTTTCCTTTCCTTTCAACAATCCACCTATACGTATCTGTCGTTTCGTCAGAGGTCATCTTCCAAGGGGTGCAACAACCAGCTTCTACAGCTTTTGCCATATCGGGGTGACACTCCTACCGGTACACTGGCATACACATAATGCCCTAGGAGAACTCAGCCAAACACGATAGTCTACTACGACTATGATCGCACCGACATTTACTCTAGTGTTACCTTCGTTTCATTTCTACACATTTACGATCTATAGTATGCACGAGCTGCCACACAGATGGGGCGCTTAATGTCCTCTAGTTTGTTCATCCGAAGGATTCTCCAAAATGGTTTCGATCGCTGTCATTTCTTCAAGAGTGTTGTTTGATCGTAGAGTGCCACGGGAATGGCCACTTTCATCTTCCATGACAGGAGGCATCATTGCGGCATCAGATGCAGCGCTTGGCTGAATTGGTTGAAGGGGAATCATATGGTCAGTTCATACTGTGACGAAAAGCAAAAACGGCGACGTACGACGTTTCTAGGTTCTTACCTCTCTACGACCCATGCCAGAGCGGCCCGTACTAGAGCGGCTCACCATATCCGAAGTTGTATGAGTGATTTGAATGCTATCCGAAAAGTTCTTTTCAAGGTCGTCAAGAATGGCTTCGTTGGCCTGAGTCGGGGATTGCTTGCCGCTTCGACGGAACATCTTTTTGGGATTGAAAGACCTCTTCGAGCTGGGCTTGCCACCCATGACTGCCTCGGTGGAGAAAGAAGTCTAAGGAAGAATGAAATTAGAAAAAAGAACAAACCATGCTTAGAAAGTCCATGGCAACCCGTGTACACTTACAAGTTTGCTTCCGTCATCACCAACAGATTGTGGACTAGATGCATCCCAATCTTTTGGAATGTAGCTGTTCTTGCCATAGGCATCAGCACTATAGTCATCATTGCTTCCGGCAAGAATCCCTTCACCACTTCGATCATAAGATCCACGCTTTCTGGTGAGGACACGGTAATGAGTCTTTCGGCCATGGTAGAAGAGAAGGGCAACGCCAGCAACGCAACTTAGCGCGATACCAGCAAGTGCTCCATTGGAGAAAGTAACATCTTCCTTTCCTCCAGATCCACTTCCCTCTACAGCTGCTGGGGTGAATCCATAAAAGTCCTTTGCTCTCTTCAACTTTTCTTCCATCACCTTGTCTGTTTCCGTACTGAGAACAATGAAGTCGAGCAACTCGGGAAATCCAGCAAAGTCTCCAGGACTAATTTCGGCAGCAACCTTCAAAGCAATTTGCAAAATGCCATTCTCGTCTCCTTTCTTCAATTGTCTACGTTCTCCATTGGCAGGTGTGAATACTTGGTCAAGAACTTCGACGTATAAAATATCAATCTTGGCAGACTCCTCCTTATCGACCATCGACTGGAGAACTTCCTTGGCCACAGTTGTGAATGTTACAAGTTGCTTTGCCGGCAAAGCTCCGGGAACGTCGCTAAGAATATAGTCAGTCTCGGCAAATTGAGTCTTTGAGGTGATTGTGGGAAATTCGGTTGGTGGAATACTCGGCTGCGGTGTAACAGTTGGGCGGTTTGTTGGGGAGACAGATGGGACTGCACTCGGAACGTGAGTAGGAGCCAGACTTGGCATATCACTTGGAACAAAACTGGGACTGCTGGATGGAATTGAAGATGGAGCTGTGTGATTTGATTATAAGATAAGGTGGTTAGAATGAGTTCCTGCATACCGGTACGTCAGCGTCACATATAGCCCGAAAATACTAGGATGTCAACTTACACGAAGATGGTGCTGCCGAAGGACTCCCAGAAGGAATATCAGAAGGAGATGGAGAGGGAGCAGGGGACTCTGTTGGTGAATCCGTAGGTTTGTTGGTCACTGTTGGAGGTGCAGATGCCGTAACCGTGGGCTTTCCAGTAATGGTCGGAGCCATGGTGGTTGTTGGAACATCTGATGGCGAGGGCGAGGGAATTGCTGTTTCAGTCGGTGCAGGAGAGATTGAAGGCTCCCATCGGTATTGGTATCGCTGAGCGCTTGCCGATGGAAAGGCAGAAAGCACAAGGAGTGCTGTGGCGGATAGAAGTAGGTTCATCGTCAACGTGAAAAAGATGAAGGATAAAGTTTTGAATTTTACATCACAAAACCGTTATAACACATGGTGGATTGAAATTATTTGGTAACGGCTTGCGACCGGCAGCGTTTTCAGTTGGACTGGCTCCGCTCGCGGCTTGAACTTGTCATAGGAGTTGAATTATGGTCGAAGGAATCAATCAATCGATCAGAAGTCTAGTCGAGAAAGAAACGGGACCCCTTTTCATTTGGGATCTTCCTTCCCACTTCAAACTGGAAGAATGCACAAAGAAGTCCCCGCGCTGAGTGGTGTCGGAAAAGTCGGTAAGCAAGGTTCTATTTGCTATGTATTCAAAACTGACGTCTGGCATGTGACCCATTGAAAAGAGGCTGCGAACAATACATGTTCGGCGGTGTCAGCTCCATAAATGGCTGCAACCATTTTTCGCGAGGCGGTGTCAAAACTTCCCTCGGAACAGCTTGAAGCAATCACGAACCCTTTCCAAATTCATGTATCAGATTCGTGTCTTTCTCCTCTTGAACCTCAGGATACGCACTACGGCCACACAATTCAGTTCATTCCATAGATTGATTCCCATCATTCCGATCCCACCTCATGCCAAACTCAATGATGATCTTTAGCGACCGCATCGTCCCTATCAACCGCCCATCTTCAATCATTGACTCTGCCACTACGAGCACCCAAGAAATCTATTGCCATGATTCTCCATCATCAACAACCGTCAAATCATCGAGAAGCATACCGATCTCGGATCGACTGACAAAGACCGCGTCAGAGATTCAGTTGTGTCGAGATCAACAGACAGCCGAGCGCCTCGACTATGAATTCTATTCTCGGGTTGTCTCGGGGATCTCACAGTCTCAGTGCACGAGTAAAAGTTGGCAATGCCGACAAGAAAACCAAATGTGTTTGCTGAACATTATGCAAACTCGAACGAATGAAACACCAAAGAAAGTCGAAGAAGAAGTGGAAGACGAATGGGCAATAGGGCATAGTCTAGAGGAAACGCCCTGTGACGAGAATCTGATTTTGAATATAGCATCAGAGGCAACCAACTTGTCCATGCCGGATGATGACGATGAGATCTTTGAGATGGAATTGTAACTCTGATTTCAGCCCAATTTCACCCAATTTCGCTATGCATATCGCTATACCCTGCAGCAGCTACAAACACAACTATTTTAAAGCTAGAACAGATATATTTTTACGCAAGCGTTGTTTAGATCGTTCATGTTTTTACAATTCGTTACCTGCATGAAAAGAGCTCGAGGAGCCTGTTTAGCTGTACAGGTGCTGTACCTGATACCGCAGTTGTCAGTATTTTTTCTCACGATTGATTCGTTAGGAGCCAATCAATGTTCAATGTCTCTCAAGATGACACCTCTTTTTAATTCAAAAATGCTTTTTGATCACAAAGACGTTTCTTTGATCGACTTTACATTGTGTGGTAAACTGGCTTCCAAAGACTGGTTCGGATCTAGTGAAGCGCAATTAAAGCGAATTCGGTTAGGCTATTTCCCATATATAAAGGGCTATTGTCGACATAAGGCTTTTGATACAATCTTCCTTCGGGAAGTTTAAAAGTGCGTTTAATGTCGATCAGAAGTCATTTGGCTTGTACACTCAAATTCACTCGTGTGACGTGCCGAAGAACGAGTGGCTTGCATTCAACGAATCAGCTGGACCACTGAATTCACAAATCTGGTCTTCACAAATTGCCACAAAATTTCTGAGAAGTAGATCTGACAAGCAGAAACAAAAAATGTTTCAATCAGAATCTGCTCCCACAAGGATAACTGACAATGTCATGAGGCATCAAGGCAGAGCATCAAGTCGCTACGATATACACAGGAGGTACCCAGTATTGCATGGAAGTAGCGAGACCGAGAAGGATTCACCTCGTACTGTTGTGGGGAAAACAGAAAACATTCCGATCGCCAATAAGGACCAAGCATCTCCAGCCGAGTTGGCAAAGATAAAAGAGGCGCAGAATCGAGACACACGGTTCTATAATCGCATTAATGGTGGGATGAAGACGACGGATGTTTCACAAAGTTGTCACCAGAATGACTTTCTGTTGCAACAACAGAATGGTCATGTAAAGAATAATCGGCACCGGGATTTCGGGATGCAAAACGATTGCTTCATTGGATATGAAGATGGACCATCAATTGACTACGACACTGATGATGAGGCGATATTTGAATTGGAACTCTGATCATGCCACCTCTGCTACACTTCTTCGTTCGTGGCGGTGCTCTCAACAGCTTTTTGAGATTTGTAAACACATTCCTAGTTTGTGATGGCTCTATCTATTTTTTCGGAGAAAGACGTCGATCTTGAACATTGTTCAACTATGCATTGCATTTTATAGAACTACTGGCTGTATTATAATCATAATAGTACATAATCATATCACCAAATGAACTACTGTACCGCCGGTTTCATAACTCCTGAGTGTAACTTGTGGCTGATTTTGGAACTGCTGACTTAGATTCGGTTGAATCGAATCAATCGATCGGGAGCGTTATTCGGTACGTACGAACCGGTTCGATGGCGTCAGCGAATTTGAAATTCTTTTTTCAAAGTGCTCTATCGCGCTCAAGAAGATAGAAAGAGAAGAGAACAACATGTTCGCCGAAGTTTAATCCCTGGCCAATCATTCTGGGACGTCTCTATAAAGTATTCGCCAATGCGATTTATCGACGCATGTATTTATAGTCCGATCACAATTCTGATGGCAGAGAATACCCAATCTTCCTCTAGCGGACTGGCAGGGAGGCGTCTCATCTGGAACTTGAAGGTTTCTGTCACCCACCACAAATTCTCATGAATCTTGGCCATACGTTTGTCGATTCTCGAATCCATCAATCGCAAAAAATCCAATAGCGGTGGTCCATCGACAGCATGAATGTCGCTGAGCCCATTCCTTCGTCATACACGTCTTCTTTCATGGGCGAGCAAAAGCAACTGGTGGCAACTCCGCCATCTAGAATGAGTTTGAAAGATGTGCATGAGCAAAATTTCCGGGCCACGATGGACAGCTCAAGCATCCAGCACAGCCCCAAATCGCCAAGCATTCCCATCAAGGGTAAGGCATTCCTATCTCACCGCCAAATCCTCGATCAAGCTGCAGCAATGGTTGACTTCCAAGACCTACAATTTTACAATCGAGTGGTTACTGGAATCAAGACTTCGACCGAAAAGCAGTACGAAAGCAAAGAGCTGCTGGAGCAAAACGAGGTCTGCCTTGAGAACATCATCCGAACGAGATCTGATGGGTTCATGGAAGACTACCTTTTCGAACCTGGTTCAGACGACCATCCATCGGCCAACAATGGATGGGATTCGGATGATGAAGACCAGTTTGTGTTGGACTTGTGATCCTTGAACAAGTGGTGGCCCAATTTATTTTTGCTGAGCTCCACCAGCTTGTGGTGGAGCAAATTTTTCAATTCAGCGCTAGCTTTGTTACAGCACAAAGCCAATTCACAACATAATATAGCCAAAAGATTTTGATTTATACACACTTTATACGCTTACAGGAAGTCGTCCACTCCTAGTACTTGTATACATGGCTGGTAGCATGATGATATTTTCAGCAACTTCCTTTTAGTAGTAAGTACTGGATTGGGAAAATCCTGTACTACGGGAGTTAAGCAAGTTTCAAACTTCAACAAATCAATCTGCATCCTAATCTTGATTCAACCTTCATCATCTCATCATGGTAGTCGTCGTTTACCGATCAGTTGGCACGTATACTCCCATCGTGTGATGCTCGAATTCGGAGAAGATAACGGTTCCAGATACCGAGAACTCTCCACTTCAACACGAATTTACTGAAAATTTCTGGAAGCTGGGCAGGCGTGCCACGAGGAGACCGATCGCCGGAATTGTTTAGCGTCAATTCTCGGCCAACGCTTCGGGACTCGCTGAAACACGGATTTTGGATGGATTCACTATACTGACGACATCCTTCCACTATACAATATTTGTATCTCAGCAGTATAGTCAACCATCACCATGCGACCCAAAGAAGGATGCTCCAAAGCAGAGACCGACATTACAAACTTTAATCTGTATTGCCTGCTTAGTCGACATAATGACTATGTACACAAGAATATGTCGGGGGCCTACCCAACCTACACCATGTCAGACATCATCATGGGGAGAAAACTACAAACCATTGATAATACTGTTTCCATATACGAGATCATGCAACCGTCGACCGGGGAGAGAATCTACGACACTCGGGATGACGCTGACGAAGAAGAATCTGATATGCTGGAGACGGACTACCGATACGTTCTCAAGACTCTGAAGCGAGGAAAAGAAGAAATACGTGACGACAACTATCAGAGAAACGCATATCTGGAATCGGAGACTCGTATTCTGTCCAACATGAGCCATCCAAATATCATTCGTCTAGAAGGAACATCACATGAGGTTGAAAGTTTTATCATTTTGGAGCGTCTATGTGACACCTTGGCCTACCGAATCCAACAGTGGGAGGTCGAAGATTGCAAAATCGGTGTTATGTTTCGAAAGAAAAAGCTTGACAAGCTTCAAGAGCAAAAGCTACATGTCGCTTATGACATTACTACAGCAATTGAGCATCTGCACAAACACAATATCGTTCATCGTGACATCAAGCCCGAGAATTTTCAATTCGATGATGTGAGTTGCTCCACCAATAACACCAGCACTATGATGATGTGATGACTCAATCGACAACTTGTCGATCAATCATTTGCGCGTCTGCAACGCAACTTGCTCACACATTGCTAAATCGTTTTCTCTATGCGCATCCACAGATGGACACAATCAAGCTGTGCAACTTTGCGTTGGCGCGTGATCTTCCACTTCGAAACGGGGGAAGTAGCAGTACCCGTCGGCCAGGAAAATCGTTTCGAATGACCGCCATGGTGGGCACTCCACGGTACATGGCCCCTGAAGTGGGACTTGGTAACAAGTACAATACTTCTTGTGATGTGTATTCTTTTGCCTTGACATTCGCGTACATCATGTCCGGCGAAAAGCCCTATGAAAACTATGATACGGTCAAACTCTTGAAGCATTGCGTTTGGGAATCCTCGTATCCTGCCCGACCAGAGCTAGACAAGTCCATCATATCACCGGCGCTTCATATTATGCTCAAGAAAGCATGGAGTCGAGACATCTTGAATCGCCCCAAAGCTGGAGAGTTGAAGCAGTTCTTGTGGAATGCCGTAAAGACGAAGCCATTTCCAAAGACTACCCGTGAATGGCTTGCGACGGACAATGATTGCCCTTGCTGTCAACGGAACAGTAATGTCTTAGTGAAGGGAGAGATTCGGATACAAGATTCTAGCTTTGAGGAAGAGATAGTACCATTCTTTGTTCCTGCAGCACCTTCACCTTCAGCATCGGCATCGCCTGCTCCTCCTCAGTGGTGGTCACCGTATGGGGAAGAAATAACATGGTCATGATAGTCCTAGTTGATCGGTGAACGCAAAATATAAAAATAAATTGCATCCTTTTTTTCTATAATAATCGAATTCAATAGTACATTTGCTGGATTGTGAATATGGTCGTCCTTATTATATTGATCGACAGTTGCAAGTACAGTATCGTTTGGAGAATAGAAACGTACGTCCGCCAACCCGTTGGTTGTCGTGGACACACATCATGTTGATTTCTGAATTGACGAGCATGGCATCGACGTTCTTTCTCAACGCTCACGATGCAATCATGTCGAAGTAGCCACGATAGCCTCATTGATAGAGGTCCACGGCGATGTGCATCTCGATTATGAGGGACGAAAGGATGAAGAGCTCTCACAATTCACACTCTGAGATCTGTTTCATCAAATCATGAAGATTGTTGCGTTTATTCTTTTGACTTGTACCCTTGCCGTGGCCTCTGGCGCTGCAAATGGCGAATGGCACCACAAAGGACGCACGGCTAGAGCGGTTATGAGAAGGCTGAATCACAAGGGTGGTAAAGGCGGAAAGCAAAAGGGAACCAGAATGCCATCTTCCATGCCATCCACGAATCCAACCGATCTTCCAAGCACTACGCCAAGTTCCGCGCCTAGCATTTCATCGAAGCCTTCGGTCTCATCAGCTCCTAGCTCAAATCCTTCCCTGTCGGGAGCACCCTCCGAAGAGCCCTCGGTTTCTCCGAGTGTGGAACCTTCCGTGTCCAACATGCCTTCCAGCTCGCAAGTACCATCCCTTGAGCCCTCCTGCATTGACAGCTTTAGAGTCATGAAGACTGGCAAGGGTGGTAAGGGCGGCAAGGGTGGTAAAGGAGTCAAAGGAAAGCGCCTTTGTGATAGCGCCAGTCCATCCAAGGCGCCATCCACTAGCAATGCACCATCCAGCAGCTCCAGTCCCTCGACAAGTCCTTCCAAAAGCAGTGCCCCTTCTTTGTCAGTCGAACCATCCTATCTTCCTTCGAGCTCTTTTCTTCCTTCGAGTATGCCTACTTGTGGTGGAAAGGGAAACGGAAAAGGAAAGGAAAAGGGATGTGCGGCTCCTCCTACTAGCAAGGATGCCAAAAAGAGCCGCAATAATGAATCTGACCCCAATAAGGAATCTCCACCATCTTCTTCTGAGAATCCTGCTCTTGCGTCGGATGCCAAGAGGGAGGCAAGTGGTGCGTCGAGTGGCACTTTTAGACTTGGCATGATTGTCTTGGGCGCGGCCAGTGTCTGTGTACTATTGCCTTGTTAAACAATTCGACGACCGTTTGTTGGCCTCCCTTGGCTCTGACGAAAGGCTAACGTACGATGTATCTATCCTATGCTACCGGATGTTTCTGTATCTATAGCCTTTCTATAAAGTCTATTTTTTATTTTCAAAAATACGGCAAAGTTTGCTTTGCATAATAGATGAACGAATGAATCATTCTTGTGTCGCTCCCACCACGAAACTGTTTCGTAGCTTCCTTCAGGGCAGATACCATTCCGTGGCAATCATAATGGCCATCCCCACCAGTGTTCCATATATCAGTTGACTGTAATCTTTTCTTGTTGTGGTTGTTGGAGATGATGATGATGATGGTTCATTACTACTACCAGAATAACTTTCCGATGGGACATGCCGGAGTGCCTCGGGATAAAGTTCCACAAAGGCTACCGTGCACATGATTCCTGCCACACATGACAAAACATTTTCCATGGGAATCTTGCTGCTTTTCAAAAAAAAGAGGGCAAAGACGGCCCCCAATGGTTCCGCCAGTCCGGATCCACTCGCCAACCAAAAGGCAAGCCAGGGCATGTCGGGGCGCGCCGCAATGCAGGGAACCGCAATGGCGATTCCTTCGGGAATGTTGTGAATCAAAATGCCAATGGCCACGGTCACTCCCAATTGTCGCGACTCGACCGTGGATGCGACTATTGAGTGTTAACAATATTATTGAATAGATGAGAGCAGAATACCAATAAAAGTAAACAATGTACCTATAACAACACGTACCAACTGCCAAGCCTTCCGGAAAATTGTGAAATAGCAAGCTAAAGAACAAGAGCATGGCCACTCGCCAGGATCTCTTTTTGGAAGCCGCTTCTTCTTTTGTGCGCTTGGATTCATACTTGTCACCGCTATCAATATCTTCCACAGAAGTATCCATGGGCGTCTTGCTGGGTGTTCGACGCATGCGGGAGGAAGGGGGTGATGATCGAGGATTCTTGGAACTGGAGCTTGTCGATGACTTGTCCTTCTGTTGCGGTGTATTTCTACCACTAGCATTGCTGCTAGTGCTTTCACCAGAGGTTGACCGTCTAATCAATGACGTTGTTTCTGGAACTTCTTCATCGTCGACCATGTCACTGTGTCTGGGAGTAGTATGATTGGCGTAGCTGGTGGAAGCAGTATTCTCCAATGGAGTTGCTGGACTTTTCACAAAGAAAGATTCTGGTTCTGGAAATGCCGCTAGCGCTTTCGACAGCAACCAGTATCCAAAACACCCTGCCCCACAACTCAACAGTCGTTCTACCAAGAGCCAAACGTCAAATGTCAGATGCGCACCTTGCCACACAAAAATGTTCTCCAAACATTCGGGCCCAATGCTAATCACAGAGACCGTAATCATCACGGATGCCGCCAAACTTAAGGAAAATGTCATACTTCCTTCAATTTGTTTGGCATCGAAGCAAAAGACAATGGCAGCACCAACACATGTCGAAGCTCCTGCCATGAAGGACAAGAGTAGAGGAAACATCCATTCTTCGTCGTCTTGTTCATGTTGTTGACTGATGGAGGCAGGAGAAGCCATGCTGAGTGTCAAACGTTGGTTATGGAAGGATCGGTGACAATAATACTGATGATGATGCAAGGTTGGCCTTGAAGAGTGAGAGTTGGTGGAGGAAGTGAAAGCAGTAGTGTCAGTATCATCATTGTCGCGAAATTTTTGGCAATTTTAAATCAAAGTCCGTCTGCCACCCGTCAAAACGAAAACTGACATGATAGATTATTCCAAGCAATCAATCAATCATGAGAGTGGTCAAATCAAGAGTAAATATAAATGGGGTTATTATTAGAGAGAACAGCATTGAAAAGGGGTTTCGGAAAAAGAGCCAACGAAACCTCTACTGAAAGTCCCAGAATAGAAAGACAAGCTAAAATGAGAGGCGGTATTGTATTTCAATCCACAGATCTACTAGTAGTAGTTGGTTTCTAAATGGTTGCTCCAGTTCTTACCACGTGGAGGACCGGTTTCTATGGGATTTTGATATCTTTGTGTCTAATATGAGGCAGGGGTGAAATTTCCAGAAGAGGGCTTTTGGAAGAAAGGGCACATGCAGCCAAACAGCACACAGGGACCTTAAAAAGTTCGATCGCTGCAGACTATTACTGCTCCAACGCTTTGTGCTGCGCATGAATCTTCCGTGTTGGATCCTTCCAATAGACTACATTCAGCCAGAAATGGAGAACGAGAAAGAAGAATCCAAGAGACAACACATTTCCGAATATCGCCATCCGCATGTAAGATCCATTTGGATTACACTTTGGACCATCGGTCAGAGATTCGAAGCAATCAATGGGTCCCAAATCTGTGTACAAATCATGAACCATAATATTCACTGCAATGGTTAGCATTGTAACTTGCCCAACGGTCAATATATAAGATAGCGTGTTGATATAGTTCCACTTCTTAACAATCGCATTGATCATTTTCTCAGGATCTTCATCGAAATTTCCTCGAAGATACCACGTCGATACAAATATGAGAAGCGTAGCTACCACAGAAGCTCCAAATCCCATGATCACGCAAAAGTACCAAGCAGCCTGAATTGCAGTAGCTGGTTTTGCTCCCATGGACAAACCGACAAACAAGAAGCCAGCCATCAATCCATTAAACTCAAAGAGCACAGTTAGACTTTCTATCATCTTTTCCAGACCATTCTTGTATCCATCCTCCAACGTATCAGCATGTTCGATACAATTATAGAAAAGAATTCTGGTGTAATCTTGAGCCCTGGCTCTCCCTTCTCCAATTGCAAGGTCTTCTTGTACCCTTCTTTTCTTGTCCGGCGCAGACATTTCATCTGCCTCGTCTGTAGCTGCTTGATTCCGAGAAGCAATTATGTGGTTCACAGCCGCGAGCAGCTCCGCCATTTTTAGTTCATCGGCCATGATTTGAATTCTTCTTGCTCCCTCTCTTTGTCTCTGATCCTGTTCAAGTGTTTCTACCGGTATGAGAGGTATCGTTTGCGATTTTTTGCTCTTCCGTCGTATGGGTTTCCAGGAAAAGTTTCTCCGAATTGCCGTACACGTGTACGGTAGAGTTTTTACCATTTTGTACAATAGCGAAACGAAATGATAAATGTCAAAGTCAGCTATTATAATACGAATCATTATCTACAGCCTGAAGGAAAAGTGAGATGTATGACTTGTGTGTGAATATGTATAATATATATAACACTGTCTCTGCATCAAAAACTATGCGGTTGCCACTGGCACTGCTGTTACCTCCTCCTCCTCGACCACGACGGCACACTCTTTCAAGCCAACACTGGCCACTAGCCTCAATTCCTTTTCAATTTCTGACAAATCTTCTTCTTCGCTTGAAGATGAATCTTCACTGGATGATTCTGATGATGATCTCAAATAATATGGCAAACTGTCTTCACCTCCAAGCAATTCCTTGAGTATCTTGTCTTGATCGGGTCCACTGTTCAAAATGACAATTTTCTTTCGTGTACTTTCTCGCATAAGTGGTTTGACCAAATTAAAGGCCAGCTTGATCCATTTGGGAGCATTGATAATCAGCGTTTTATAGGATCGAGTTGGATAATGGTTGCTCATAATGCCCACCAACTCTTTTCCAAAGGTCCGAAACTGAGTGTTGTAGACCATGTCCATTTTGACACCCGTACAATCAATGATACTCGTCATGAGACCACCAGGTGGCATAGGAGAGGGATCTAGTAAATTCCACACATATTCCACAATGTACAAGTAGTGCCTCAACACGGCATCGACGGAAATATCATTGGCACTGGCAATGTCCAATCGGACCATACCGGGACGTTGCACCAAAATCAAATGTCCTTCGGAATCACGTCCTGGCAAAAAGACGGGAAAGATTTGATGGCACAAGTCAAAATTGGCTGGTGGCTCTAGCAGAATAGTATTAACTTGTTCTTCGCGTCGCCATTCCAACGTGTGTTCAAAGGCTGCCTTGGCCTTTTCACGATTGTCCTTGTGGGCAATCAGGTATCGTTTGGGAATCCCATCCGGGTCTTCTTCTGAGCCATCTCCGGTTTTGATGACCGAGAATTCTTTTTCTAGAAAAGGTTGCGGTATTTGATCGGACCAGGTAGAGAAATTGGCAGTCTCGCCTCCTCGAAGGAACAATTGCGGGAGGTTTTCAAGGGAATGCTGACCTGATGCTGATACGAATGACTGTCTGCTGTTGGAAGGCTCCTCTTTTCGAATACCAAAGACTGGTGCATTAACAGCATGGCTAGAAAGTGAAGATGACCCAGATCTGCAGTGCACCAAGTGCAGAGCCTGCAAGAAGAGGAGAGATGTCTTCACCGCCGACTTTATCATCATTATCTCTCTTCTATCGGTTTCGATTTCTAATTTGACTGATGTGCGTATTTAGGAAAATTCTGCTTCGTCAGAAAGTGTGCCTGTGACGTACTGAAGTAAGCCCAATTTTTGAACCACGGCCGTTACGCCGGCGGAGTACATGTGAATTTTGGAAGAAGAACCCGGATAATGAAACGGAATACACATGAAGTTCGTTGAGTATTGGCGATTTACGGCACGACCATCAAAACAACGATGAGGTGACATAACAGTTACAACGTTCATCTTATGAATGTAGCCACATACTTGGAAGAACAACGAGAGCAAGAACCGCCACAACAACCATTAGAACCATGTCCTACCATGCCGCATTTCATCACGTAGACAATAAGACAGAAGAAAAGGGCAAACAACATTGCATGAGATGTCACAAGTCCTTTGATCCTGCCAAACCTAGTGAAAATTCCTCCACAGCCTGTGTCATGCTGAGCCCATGTCCCTTTATGGGTCATCATACTACCAATGCCAAAGAAGTCGATTACAACAAGTTTGATATCTGCGATCCAAACAAGTGTGGAACCGTACTTCATTCGTTTACCTTTCACCTAAGACTGATACAAGCCGAAAAAGAGTGCCATGTCATACAACAAGGCTTGGATCGCCAGGATTCCAAAGACCGAAAGCGGCTGGAAGATCAATTGGAATTCTTGCAAAAGATCAAGATGCGACAGGCAAAACTCCCAAAGGACAAACGGTGGAATGCCAAACGTGTCAAAGCCATAAACCAACAATACGACCAGGTCGTCGAGTTGATGATTGAACGAGAAGCAGAAAAACTACAGTTGGAAACCTGGACGCGTCAAGTCTTGAATCCGACCTATCAAAAGAAAGAAAAAGAATTGTTTGCCAAGGCACCGCAAGCGGAACCCAAAGCGAGGAAAACATGGGCAAGAATTGAACAGTTGGCAGCAACGACGAGGCAAGATGATGATGACGATAGTAGCCAAAGAAGAACTACTACTCCTGTTAGACCAATGATGAAAAACAAATCCACAACATCAGCAACAACTACTACGCATCTGAAAACTATACGAGAATGATCATCTACATGCGACGTGAACAAAACTGCTCTATGGTTTATGATGTTTGGATCAGAGTTGAGTCTATATTTTCTCTAATCTCGTTGCTGCTGCTGTTGCTGCTCCTTTTGTTGCTGCCGGAACTTGTAGACGTCCAGTTCATGGCAACTGGACAAGGGAAAATTCATATTCAACTTTTTCTGTTGGTTGGAGTTGTCATCCAAAAGGAATTCATGCTTGAGAGCATCCTTGGCCGAAAGTCGGGATTCCGGATCCAGTTTCAAGAGATTGGAAACGAGATTGGCCAGTTGGATATGATGCTTGAGGACCTGGTTGCGTTGTAGTTTGCGAGTGTTCTTTGTCATTTCCTTGGGCAACCAAGTGGGCTCTTCCTTGATTAAGGCGCACTTTTTGTCAATTTGCTGACAGAGCTCAATGGCAACCTTGGCATGAAACAACGGTTTCTGAGATGCCAATTCGAAAAGAATGCATCCAGTGCTCCACATGTCCACTTTAGTGCTATAGTTGGCGGAACCAATCAAGATTTCGGGAGCACGGTACCATGGAGTCCCAATGGTACTGTTGGTGTACTGTCGAGCTGACATCTTTCGTGCCAAACCAAAGTCTCCAATCTTGAGAGTCCCTTGCTTGTCAACCAGCAAGTTGGCTGGCTTGAGGTCCCGATGCATGATTTGTTGCTCATGAAGGTGCTGGCATCCTTGCAATAGCTGACGAGTCCACGATTGAACATGATCCTTGGTCAAGCGTTTGGCAAGGATTGGCATTCTCAATAGACCTGCCAGGTCATATTCCATGTATTCCATAACCATGAATACTTGTCCTGGTAGTCCATCAGCGCCTATAGTTGTTATTGGTGTGGGCGAGAGTGTTAGTCCAAGGATCAATCAATCGTTCTGCAAAACATTATACATCAGTCGGGCATCCAATCTCCTTACCTTCTGTAGTCACAACCTCGTGCAACTTGATTACATTTTTATGTTCGATTGATTTGAGTAGCTTGATTTCGCGAAGTGCCGTGTATGGAAAGCCATAGGTTGGCACACTCTTATCATCGCGAGTCTTGACGCGTTTGATAATCTTTGGCTTGTTGGTTTCTCGATCCAACGTTAGAAAGACGCTACCAAAGGTCCCTTCCCCAATATGTTTTCGTATTCTAAAACAGTTCTTCAAGTCCCGAGTTTGTTTTGGTTGATAGTAGCTAGCGGATGATGGATCGGTTGTTCGAGCTTGTTTGCGAGGTTTCGTTTCGGCTTCCTTTCCTGAAATCGGACGCTTCTTCCTGCCAGATTTGGCAGAATGGTATTTCTGGTGTGAGGACCCGACAGTGGAGGAGTCGGTGTCAGTGTCATTATCATCATCATCCGATGAAGAAACGACGAGCGCTTCTTTCTCGTTAGTTTGCTTTTGGGCTTGCCAACAATCGTTGTTGTTCTTGCTGTTATTAGTGTTATTGATGGAATGGAATTTGTTCTGAGTAGCAATCATCGTTCTGAACAATACTTTACTTTTTTATTATACACGCTAATAGGATAGACAATTCAATTGATGAGGGAGGTTGCGATTGTGTTCATTTATTGATATATGACCTCGTAGTTGTTGTGGGTAGTATGCTGTCGTAAGTCACAAAAAGGGAGTCGTTTGTTGTAACGATGCCTTACTTTGTGTCATAAAATCTGATCGTACGACAAAATAGAAGTGGACCTCGTCAGGCGCGAGAGGTCTGATTCTCCTTTATCTCGTTTCGCCAATGACATTGCGTCAAGAATTGCCTCTGACATGATGACGACATTTGATCATGTCATTTACGTGTCAGTGTGATTAAAAACAGAAGGCTTTCGGTGTCAGTTCTGTTTCAGTAGTGTAGGTGCCTGAACTTTAGATACCTATTCATATCCTCGGCACGACACGACATGATCAGAAAGTCAGTGTCAAAAAAGAGAAGACTATGAAAATCTAGCGTGTTCAGGTACCAGTACTACTACCGGTCTTATCACGGTATGTCAAGATATCAGAAAGTTAGTGTCAAGAGTGAGTAAAAGCAGCTGAGGGCTTCTGATAGATATTTGGTATTCCTTCTAAAGCACGAATGGGGCTACTAGCTGCATGTACTTAATCTACTACTCTATAAATTTTATATATCTATATATAGGATTGATGCTTATTCTTCTTCGTCTCTCGTTTCGACAATATCATGGGTATCCAGAGGAAATCTTGATACCACAGTTTCATCGGGATTTCCAAAATCGCTTCCCGGAGTCCACCTTCCTCCCACCATCGAATGTATAGCCTGTCCATTCTGATAGTTCGTTCCTTCCAACATCAGGCCGTCGGCAAAAGTCCCGACAAAAGTAATACCATCGTCGTATTCGAGTCGACCTTTACCATGTGCTACACCCTGTTGGTTCACACTTCCCAGAAAGACTCCTGCATCGCCTTCTGGATCGTGCATCCGGTAGCACCCAGTGGGGGCTTGTTGTTGTGCAAACCATTCCTTGTAGAAAATCTTGCATATGAAAGAGTCAAGCTCTAATCTATGGCCTCCTCCACCTCCTACAATGAACTCGAACTTGTAGTAGCACCCAGGTGTGCATTTTGAAACAACTTCTTGATCCGATTCCAAAAGTCGGTAGGCAAAGGCACCGGGGTATTTTGATTCATATGGTTCGGTCCGGTAAGTCCCAAAGAGATTGCACCGAGCAATCAATTCATCATTGGAGCTGTACAAAGCCAGTGCTAAAGAACCCTTTGCATTTCCCCACCCTTGGTCCCGCAAGTTGTCGGCGGTGACAAAGACGCGTGATACTTCGCCTTCTAGAGCCGAGCTTCGGCAGCCTTCGTTCCATCGGTCGTTGCTAATAGAGCTTGAAAGGGTACCCCTTCCAAAAAAGCATGGCGAAAGATCTCGCAACTCAACCGCAGAAATACCTTCCTCCTCCAAAAACTGCTGCGCAGCGACGGCCTTACCGTTGCGAAGGAACCCTAGATACACTCTTCTTTGGAATGGTACCAAGTTGTCATCTCCACGTTTCTTGGCAAGATTCAAATACATTTCAGCGACAGGTATTTCCTTGTCACCAGCCAGCATATCCTGACACTGATCCTGGAGCTCGGTGCAGCAGGCAAGCCACTTTTCAGCTTCATCAAACTGATGTGTATCAATTGCCTTTTGTGCCATCTTGCATATCTGAAGAACCTTTCCAGGGAGGTAGGCTTCCATCAGATTTTCCGGTTTTACGGCATACAACGTCAACAATTGTTTGGTCAACAAAGAGGGCTGAAGGATACATAATCCAGTGTCAGAACAAGGTTGCTTATCCAACGCACCAAGACCCAACTGCGCCAATTGCATAGCAAGGGTCCGGTGACCTTTGGGCCCAATGTCGTTCATAAACTCCTGTGCCAGCTCGATGACCTTGCAAAAGTCGCGCTCATTCTTGGTGTTCATCAAAAGAGATGCAGTTTCAATAATTTCACCAACCCGACCTGACTTGAATTCTGTCATCTGCTGCTTCAATCGCAAAGCAGGATAAACTTTGGGATCCAGTTCCACTCGTGACCATGGGCAGGTAGCAAACTTAAGGTTCCCGGAACCTTCCTCGATGGCAGTGCTTCGATCCACGATAAATCCGGACGAAATGACCACCGGATCACGCATGATGTCTGAAGAGATGGGATCGAAAAAGTCTTCGGGAGCACTTTGTGATAGGTTAGTGATGTGATGCTTCAAAAGTTCTGATCCCATCAACAGATCGCAAGGTGAACGGCGAAGAATATCAATCCCAATAGCACAGAAATGCTGGTTTCTATTGATTTTTCCATTTCCAGCGCCTCCTTCCGAATCATCAGCGTCACCTTGGCCTTCTTGGTCTCGTTTGGATCCAATCTCAATCAATACTTTTCGTGCAATTGCCACGATGTCCTCTTCTGGCAATCTGCCCTTGTAGATTCCAATCACTCGAGACAGATTCAATCCATTCATCAAGAGTTCACGAATCACCAAGTCATCGTGCACACCCTGACATTTGGAGGACGAAGTCTCCGTTGAGGAGTCGTCAGAGTCTTCTAGTTCCAATTTTGTGAGAGCCATTGAAGAAAGGGCCTAGGGTATACGCTTTTGATGTAAGATAATACCTGGATGGCTACAGTATTGAGACGAAGACTGCTTTGACGATGTTTGTGGAAAAGATTCAAAGAAGCTGGGACCGCCTATATGCACCGCACCACCTGCGAATTTTGGAGTCGTGATGAAGCGCGCAACATAGATGCTGGCATCAGCAGTGACTGGCAGGTACCATGCTGGCAGTGCTTCTCTTGGGGGGCAATCTTTGGCCCACCTTTGCCGTCCTGTTTCTCTGGCTGCCGACTATTCCATTCGTGACAGCGTGGGTTAGCAAAAGCAAGGGTTTTGTCAGCATTGAAAGTAGAATATTGGTATTACTGCTGTTATTGAATTCCTGCCTAGATCATGTCACCTGCTCACTTATATCCCAGGATGGTGGGGGTTACACCCACTTGACCTTTGAATTAGATTTTTAATGCTGCTCAGAAGCACAACTAAAAAACAGCATGCACCAAGAGAATCCACGACCTTCTGCATGATTGGAAACTGCTAGACCATAGGACTCTCCAACCATCGCGTCCATTTCCTTGTCGACTTCAGCAATGCAATCTTCAAAACGAAACATAGTAATAAAGTCAATCGCAGGATCAATTTCGACACCATCCAATGCATCTTGACATGGGCTGCCTCCTGTATCTTCCGATGGCTTTGCCAGAAAATACATCATTTCATTATGATATCCGGAGCAAAGTTTCAAGGGAAGGTCTTCTTGGTGCCAATTGTAACCAATATCGTCAAGGACGGAAGAGGTACAAGCTTCAGAGAAGAAGGAGGTTCCCACATCCTCTTGTGCTCGGGTATGGACCTACTCGTTGCACAATGACACAGGTTAGATATAACGTCTGCATCCCATCCTCCTACACCATCGTCATACCGCAATGGCTGGCTTGAATCAGTCATCGATACGTACCGAATGTGCTCGACCATGACGAGGCTGCATTAGTGGAAAGCAATCAAGAAAGAGTGAGTGAGTCGTTCGTATCCTCCCGCATAGCCATAAAATAGAGAATGGTCTCTATCACCGACAATTCTTACCGAATCGCCAGGAACAATCTTTTCATTCAGGGCAGCCTTCAAATCAGCGTCGACTATAGCAATGCACTCCTCGAAATGGAACTCGTTAATCGTCGAGATTGCGGATTCGAAGCCTACAGAGTCCAAGGCCATTTGACATGGATTATCTTCGAGCTCTTCGTTCACCAGATAGATAATCATTTCATTCTGATATCCTCCGCAAAGAATTTGGGGCAGAGTTTTGTGGTGCCAATCGGAATTCTCTAGGATATAGATAGAGCATTCTTCGCCGTAGATGGTTGCATTCTCATCTCCAACACGAGCCTGTCATAATGTGAAAAGGACGTGAGATGCTATTGGCAACCTCAATACGGTATGTGGCAGCGAGATTTCAAGGAACGAATCAACCAACACCTACCGAATGGGATTTGACATCTGCTGCTCGAGTAGTAGCCTGCGTGGTTGTTGGGCAATGGCAAAGAAGTAAGTCGTTTACATTCGTTTACATTCTCCAGCTCCACAGAATCATGCGAACTACAACCGAATGTGATGATTCGACAACTTTTGCTTTCGGACGAACCTGCGTTTGAAAACCAGCGGTCGTGTCATGATGAAGATAGAGCAGTGAGTCCTTGTGGTTGCCACCTGTACCAAGGTACTCTACAGTCGCATAGCTAGCCGGAATCGCTTTGAAGCAGCCAATCGAGGACACTTACTGAATGGGCATCAGCGCCGCAAAGCAACGCTAGGAAAAGAGGTACTGTGATCTTCGAAATCATTCTGTTGTTTTATGACGATTTGATGAGGATGAATTATATGCCAAGTGCTTACATAGAATGTACAGCACATTTGTACGAGCTCTACAGGGTCATAAACTCTACACGCATATAGTTTGGATTCATAACATATTTCAGAATGACGCCTAAGATTTTTTAAAAGTACCGGTATAATACGACGAGAAAAGAGAAACAGATTGATTTCGAAACTACTACCAGTACACGTACCTGGTTCCTGGTACCCGTACGACCGTATCTAGCAGCGGCAGTTTGCAAGAGCCGACTAGGTGGAATGACAAACTGTTGGAGATAGATCGATAATGCAAAATTATCTACGGATTCAATAGGAATAAACACAGTAGAATGGACACTTCAGGAAGGCTTGATTGCTCAACGACTATACTTGTACTTCGTTTTGGGCTTTTGTTGTTGCAAAAGGGGTTGGAAAGAATTTGGTTTAAACTCGTACTGTAATGAAACCGCTAAGCAACGAAAACGATATACGCTAACAAATCCACATCTCCATATTGCCAGTCTAATTCTCTGCAAATACTTTATTGGCGTCGCCCCTCCTCCGTCGTGCTGGTTCTCTGCCGACTATTCCATTGGCGTGACAGTGAGGGCTAGTAAAAGCAAGGGTTTTGTCAGCATTGGAAGTAGAATATTGATATTACTGCTGCTATCGGCCTATACTACCTAGATTGTGTCACCTGTTCACTTTTTTCGCAGGATGGTGGGGGTTACACCCACCTGACTTTAGAACTAGACTCTAAGTCGCTTGTCTTCATTACAAAACAAAAAAAGAATGCAATTCCACGGTCTACGACCTTCTCCATGGTGGGAACCTACAAGACCATAAGAATCTGCAACCATCGCGTCCATTTCCTTGTCGACTTCAGCAATGCAATCTTCAAAACGAAACATGGTGATAAAGTCAAGCGCGGGATCAATTTCGGCACCATCCAATGCATCTTGACATGGACTGCCTCCTGTCTCTTCCGATGGCTTTGCCAGGAAATACATCATTTCACGATGATATCCGGAGCAAAGTTTCAAGGGAAGGTCTTCGTGGTGCCAATTGTAACCAATATCGTCAAGGACGGAAGAGGTACAAGCTTCAGAGAAGAAGGAGGTTCCCACATCCTCTTGTGCTCGGGCATCAACCTACTCGTGCAACAATGACACAAGTTAGATATAACGTATGCATCCCATCCTCCTACACCATCACCATACCGCCATGGCTGGCTTGAATCAGTCATCGATACGTACCGAATGTGCTTGACCATGACGAGGCTGCATTAGTGGAAAGCAATCAAGAAAGAGTGAGTGAGTCGTTCGTATCCTCCCGCACAGCCATGGAATAGAGAATGGTTTTAGTTACTGACAATTCTTACCGAATCGCCAGGAACAATCTTTTCATTCAGGGCAGCCTTCAAATCAGCGTCGACTATAGCAATGCACTCCTCGTAATGGAACTCGTTAATCGTCGAGATTGCGGATTCGAAGCCTACAGAGTCCAAGGCCATTTGACATGGATTATCTTCGAGCTCTTCGTTCACCAGATAGATAATCATTTCATTCTGATATCCTCCGCAAAGAATTTGGGGCAGAGTTTTGTGGTGCCAATCGGAATTCTCTAGGATATAGATAGAGCATTCTTCGCCGTAGATGGTTGCATTCTCATCTCCAACACGAGCCTGTCATAATGTGAAAAGGACGTGAGATGCTATTGGCAACCTCAATACGGTATGTGGCAGCGAGATTTCAAGGAACGAATCAACCAACACCTACCGAATGGGATTTGACATCTGCTGCTCGAGTAGTAGCCTGCGTGGTTGTTGGGCAATGGCAAAGAAGTAAGTCGTTTACATTCGTTTACATTCTCCAGCTCCACAGAATCATGCGAACTACAACCGAATGTGATGATTCGACAACTTTTGCTTTCGGACGAACCTGCGTTTGAAAACCAGCGGTCGTGTCATGATGAAGATAGAGCAGTGAGTCCTTGTGGTTGCCACCTGTACCAAGGTACTCTACAGTCGCATAGCTAGCCGGAATCGCTTTGAAGCAGCCAATCGAGGACACTTACTGAATGGGCATCAGCGCCGCAAAGCAAAGCTAGGAAAAGAGCCACTTTGATCTTCGACATTATTTTGTTGTTTTTTATGCACACCGGTACTATTGATGAGGATAAATTACGTGCCAATGAGCGCTTACAGTATGTACTGTACACGTTGAACGTGTACCAGCTTTACAGGGTCATAAACTACAACCCACAACTTATTTTAGAATGACGCGCGGAAGATTTTTTTTTAAAAGTACCGGTACACCAATACGAAGGCCACGAGAAAAGAGAAACCGATTGATGATTTCGAAACTGCTGGCATCGTTAGATGCACGATCCGACTAGGTTTGATGAGGATAAATTACGTGGCAAGTGGTTACAGTTTAAATCATACAGTGCACTGCACCAGCTCTGCAGGCTCACAAACTAATAAGGATCCAGAACTTATTTCAGAATATAACGTGTAAGATTATTAATAACGCTTTTTTTCTTCAAATAGTACAAGCTACTGCGCTAAAGTTCGAAAAAAGAGAAACAAAATGACCCTACTGTAGATTCAATCTTTCAGTATCATATCCTGATGTCGATTGTACCTAGGATTGATGATCATGATATTGAAACATCAAGAAAAAATGCTAGATTCCTTAATTTTCAAAACGAGCAATAATGACTTCAGCATTTTTCATCACAGCTTTTCCCATAAGTACATTGGAATTTCGGAATTGTCTGCAACATAAGACACCCCATGTTCCATTTCCTTGTTCCCTACCGTCAGGACAATTTTATTCCGTGGCTATTGCCGCTATCAGCATTGCGGCATTCTAGAGGGCCACGTTATTGGTATTTTAGTTAAAAAACTTTGTAGAATTAGTACTCATTCTTCCGTTTCAGTAATATTATGGGTATCCAAAGGAAATCTTGCTACCACAGTTTCATCGGGATTTCCAAGACAGCTTCCGGATGTCCAGACTCCTCTCACCATCGTATGAACAGCCTGTCCATTCTGGTAGCTCGTTCCCTCCAACATCAGGCCGCCGGCAAAAGTCCCGACAAAAGTAATACCATCGTCGTATTCGAGTCGACCTTTACCATGTGCTACACCTTCTCCATTGACATTACCCAGAAAGATTCCTGCATCGCCTTCTGGATCATGCATGCGGTAGCACCCATTGGGTGGGGATTCTTGCTGTGCGAACCATTCCTTGTAGAAAATCTTGCATATGAAAGAGTCAAGCTCTAAACTATGGCCTCCTCCACCTCCTACGATGAACTCCAACTTGTAGTAGCAACCAGGTGTGCATTTTGAAACAACTTCTTGATCCGATTCCAAAAGTCGGTAGGCTACTGAACGGGGAAACTTGGAGGAATATGCTTCGGTTCGATATGTCCCAAACAAGTTGCAACGAACGATCAATTCATCATTGGGGCTGTACAAACCAAGTGCAAGAACACCCTTTCTATTTCCCCACCCTTGATCCCGAAAGTTGTTAGCGGCCACAACGACATGGGACACTTTGCCTTCTAGAGCCGAGGATCGGCAGCCTTCGTTCCATCGATCATTGCTAATGGAGCTTGAAAGGGTACCCCTTCCAAAAAAGCATGGCGAAAGATCTCGCAAATCAATAGCAAAAATGCCTTCCTTTTCCAAAAACTTCTGGGCTGCGGCAGCCTTGCCATCACGAAGGAACCCAAGATAGACTTTTCTTTGGAATGGTACCAAGTTGTCATATCCGCGTTTCTTGGCAAGATTCAAATACATTTCAGCGACAGGTATTTCCTTGTCACCAGACAGCATATCCTGACACTGGTCCTGAATCTCGGTGCAGCAGGCAAGCCACTTTTCAGCTTCATCAAACTGATGGGTGTCAATTGCCTTTTGTGCCATCTTGCATATCTCGAGAACCTTTCCAGGGAGGTACCCTTCCAAGAGATTTTCCGGTTTCAATGCATACAGCATCAAAAGCTGCTTGGTCAACAAAGATGGCTGAAGTACGCATAATCCAGTGTCGGAAGGTCCCAGGTCCAACGTGGAAAGACCTAACTGTGCCAATTGCATTGCAAGGGTCCGGTGACCTTTGGGCCCAATGTCGTTCATAAACTCCTGCGCCAGCTCGATGACGTTGCAAAAGTCGCGATTGTTCTTGGCGTTGAGCAAAAGAGATGCAGTTTCAATCATTTCACCAACCCGACCTGACTTGAATTCTGTCATCTGCTGCTTCAATCGCAAAGCAGGATAAACCTTGGGATCCAGTGGCACTCGTGACCACGGACAGGTAGCAAACTTAAGGTTCCCGGAACCTTTCTTGAGGGCAGTACTTCGATCCACAACGAATCCCGATGAAATGACCACAGGGTCACTCATTATGTGAGAAAAGATGGGATCGAAAAAGTCTTCGGGAGCACTTTGTGATAGGTTAGTGATGTGATGCATCAAGAGCTCCGATCCCTTCGAAAGATCGTAAGGTGAACGGCGAAGAATACCAATCCCAATATCACAGAAATGCTGATTCCTGTTGATTCTGCCATTTCCCAGACTAGCTTCTGAATCATCGTCCCAATTTGCAATTTCAATCAAGAGTCTTCGTGCAATTGCCACAATCTTTTCTTCTGGCAATCTTTCCTTGTAGATTTTAATCGCTCGAGAGAGGTTCAACCCATGCATCAACAGTTCACGAATAACAAAGTCATCGTGACTATTAACAGTCTGGCTTTTGGAGGACGAAAGTTCCAATGATTCGTCAGAGTCTTCTGGCTGCAAGTTTGATAGAACCATTGACGAATGGATTGTGATTTGTGATTTTATGAAAGATCTTTCATGATCATGAGGGAATATGAAACCCGCCCAGAGACGGCACGCACTGATCAACTATCCAACGCATTGCGATCAGCTTTTACAACTTGAAACTCGCAGCTGATGTACGTTTACCTACCTACGAGTACATAGTATTACGCAATGGAATAAAAGAGAATCAATTCGGAACGCAATCCATGACTGGATTTTGTAGTCGTGTCTGAAGCGTGGAAAAGATACCATAATATATATCTGTAGTATATCGATGCTGCGATTGGTAGAAATAAAACAAGTCGTGCCTCACGGCCACCTCCTACAGTAGTTCATAGTGTGGAATGGGATGCATCACATGTCCTTTGCAACCAAAAGAAGTTGCAAGGCATCCATTACACTTTATCTTTGCAGAAGGTAAGTAAGCATAGTATTTTTTAGTTTAGGAATTAGCACTAGGAAAAGGTACCAGCATGAATGAATCATCAATCAATCAATCGATCAATCCCACCGTTACTCTTTTAATAATAGAGGAGGGTTTTTGACCTTCTGTGAAATACCATACTTCTAGCGACAGTGTAATTGCCCGTCACCTATTTCCTGCAGCAGTCTCATGAAAGGGTTGCCACAAGCTCGTGGAATCCTTTTGTACGAGATTGAACGTGTCAGCCCACACTTCTTCTTTTACCAAAGTGAAATGATTTCGCAAAGCTGGACGGCCGATACAGCACTGTGCTTCTGAAACAGTATATCAAGTATAGAATAGGCTTGGTTCTCGTCTCATCCATGAATCTGTCCCGAAACTACAACAAAAGACGATCAAGGAGGGCGCAGAAGAGCAGGTTTCGAAGTATGCAAAGAGACAGTGAATGCTCATCTTGCATGTTCCTCCATATTCCACTCTCACTATTGCCATCATGTTTCTGAACTCTTCTTCTTCGAAGTTTCTTCCTTGGCCAATTTGCGTGCTCAGATTTATTCTTCAATCACTGACGGAAGTTGGTGAAGACCTTCCACTTCTTCTGCATCTGCCAGCGCTCTTGGCACACGCCTTGAAATACGACTTAAGTGATATCACCTTCTCCATTTTGACAGCTGCAAGATATCCTAGCAGCTTCTTGGCTTCAATGCATCAAATAACCATGTGGAACAAACTACCAATCGTGTCAATTTGCAATCAAAAAGATACCTATGAATCTTTGGCCTTGACTCTTTTTGGAAATCCGAACGATTTTCACGTTGGCCCTATGTCCACGAGTCTCACGATAGACTTTTCGTCGAATATTTTCCGTTCATAAAAATTGCACGTGCAAATTGGTGATGTTTGAAGTTCGTTGAGGTTTACTCTAAATGTATTAGACAGAATTCGTTAAATGTTTCGCTCTAAGTATAGAACTGCATCGCCATCCACCACATTTTCAGAACATAAAACCATCACATTATGACCACAAAACCAATAATCAGTTTTCATATCCAACAACTATTTGAACATGTACAAGGTTGCTGCCATCACCATTGCTCTCCTTGCTGTCTTTGAGCCTTCTGCAGCATACGAGAAGCCAATCACTCTGCGCCGTCTACACAGCAAAGCCAAAAGAAAGTTGCACTCAGTGGCTCCTGTTGCTATTTCGACTTCTGCTCCGGTTGTTATTGCCGCGCCCATCTACATTCCACACAAGGTCGCCAAGTCATCCAAGTCGTCATCCAAGTCTTCCGGGTCATCAAGGTCAACTAAATCAGGAAAGAGGCAGCTGGTTCACTATCAAGCACCTTACGAGAACTAAGTTCGGAATGAAGGATCATTTTGAGTACGGGGAAACGCTTCTCGTCTGTCCATAGACAAAAGGTCCATTCAAGTTGCAACAATAGTGTACAAGTTAGATCAATATGGCTACTGAACATTGTGACTGGACGGTTGAAACTTTCTACATATGAGGGCATTGTGCGAAGACGTTTTTGATGAATCATCAGGTTTCAAATGCTGATTTCGCCTGGAATGTTCTTTCGTATTGTTCAGTTTAAAAATTAAATTATCTTCCTCTGGGACTGGACACTATGCATTTTGTGATGGTAGCGTAGCTCAACAGTCGGGCGGATGGAAGAGGATAAGGAAGCTATTACTACAGTATGCTTGCACTCTTCCTACAGGTGGCATGTGGCGATAAGTGTTTCGACACGTGCACAGGTATGTACGCGTTCACGTATGCACGTGCTTGTGGAACACAGCCACGTGCAAAAATTGAAATTTTCATGCTAGTACACGTGCAGGTGATATCCCCTACTTATGGGATCAGAACCTTAGACGTCACGGCTGTGACACCTGTCGGACTGTATTACGTTATGTTTTCTTCGAACGGATCTTATTTGTTTTTTTTAAAAGGACAAACGTCCTTCTCCAAACCGGCACATCGCAATCTTGTTGTAGAAACCCTCAAAATTGGGTACCGCAGACATCAGCATCGTCATAATTACCAACAAGAAGAGAGACTGGCTTCATGTACAAGCCTGCTGCCATCGCCATTGCTCTCCTCGTGGTCTTCGAGACCACAACTGCGTACGACAAGCCCATTACTCTTCGCCGTCTACAAAAAAGTGCGACAAGACAGCGTCAGCTTCACACTGCCGCTCCACATGTCACCGTGCCAGTTTACATTCCTCATCATATGATGGTCCGAGTCAAGGGCAGCAAGAGGCATCTCGCTCATTACCAAGCTCCATACGAGAATTAAGTGAGAAAGATGGGTCCAAGAAGACCATATCCTCATGTTCGATGAGGATGATGACCATGATGATGTCAAGCAAGAATCACAAGGTTCTGTTGGTCCAACTTTCTATCCGGTAGAAAGTTCTGAATACTCGCCCAAGTGATACGTCCATTTAGTATAGTAGAAAAATTAGTGTAAGCAGTATATTTCAACGAAACAAGAAGGCTGTTGGTGTATGAGGATGATAGTAGCGCAGTAGTAGTACTAGTTAAGCAAACTAGTGCTGGTAGTAGTCGTCGTCGTCGTCGTATATTCAGGAGATCAGTTTAGACTAGGTAGGATATTTTCTTAGAATTTTATCAGAAAACTGTTGTCTAAGCCACGCAGCAATACCTGTGCGTAGCCTTCGAAGGATTGATTGATTGATTGATTGATTGATACAGTAGCGTACCGGTACATTGCAAATATCTGTACTGGACAATGTACAGTGCAGTGCAAGGTGTGCATAGTCTTTGCGTCGTCCGCAAATGGATGAAACCAAATCGCATGGAACATGCAGATTATGAAAACACACTCATCTCATTGCAATCTTGACCATGACAACTGCATCGGAAAGAATTCTAGTTGTCGGAGCCACGGGAATGCTTGGCGAACCAGTGGCTCGGCAATTGGCAGCAGACGGTCATCACGTCCATGTTCTGAGTCGAAGCAAGGAAAAAGCTGAGTCACTATTTGCCAAGGAACCAAAGATTTCATCCTTTGAAGGAAATGTGGATGATCTTGCCTCGCTGACGGAAGCGATGAAAGGATGCACGGGAATTCATATCAATCTATCAGGTGGTATTATGGAGTCGCACGGTACACACCAGGTGATTCAGGCAGCAAATGCTTTGAAAGACGACAATAATACTGTTGTCAATCGAATATCATTGATTTCAGGAGTCACCACTTGCGAGGAGAACACATGGTACGAAGGGACGAAGGCAAAGCTGCAAGCGGAGAATATTCTGATCGAATCTGGGTTCAACTACACCATCTTCCGTTGTACCATGTTTATGGAAACCTTGCCCAAATTAAAGGTATTGGTGGGACCACAACCTACCTCGTGGCACTTGTTGGCGGCCTCGGACTATGCCCGCATGGTATCCAAATCCTTCACTATCCCAGGTGTATCTAATGAGATTCTCTTTTTGTATGGTCCCAAACCACCGTGTACACTTCCTGAAGCAATGAACACGTACTACATTCCAATCTGCGATCCAGCCCGTACTCCACCAATTCCCACCATGTCCATGGAAGATGCGCTTGCAACAGTAAATGGGAAGACCGCCAACACGTTCAACTTGACCGAAAAGGGGATTGCCAAGTTTGATTGGTTGGGTAAGATTCACGAATTGGGCGGTCCTTCCAAAGCCAATAATCTGTTGGGAGCACCCACCATCACTTTGGAAAAGTGGTGCAAGGATCATGCCAAGTAGGACGAATACGAATATGGCATGGATGGATTGCACCGAACAGACAGCTCTAGACAAAATCGAAATCAAATCGAGGATGAATGGGATGCCGAGGAAGCCCCCACCATCCGTGATCAAGGCAGCAGTACAATCCCCGTTCTGTTAGAAGCCACAAGCAGGTGAACACGGAAGTCAAAGGAAGAGATTTCAAGCAGATTGAGTATTCATACGATTGCAAATGGCCAGAGAGCAATCTGGTAGCACAAGATCGTACAGTAGAGCCGTGAGATCTTTGAGAAGAAAGCAGTTTCTTATTTTGAATGTACAGCTGATTCTGACCCAGTCGACTAAAGTCGATTTGGTGTTTTTGATCAGACAAATCAACAGAATGATGTCAGACAACTGTTAATTGATTTCCAAAACTAAAATATTCGTAGCCATATATGATATAAGCAGAACACCTCATACGTCATCTGTTATCATCGCTAGAAAAGCTACCAGAAGTAACACGTCAGTGATGAAATCGATTTGATTGGTTAAAGTGCATTCCACGAGTTGAATCGACATCTGCACACCACAATGAAACATCAAACGTTGTTGTCTCCCATCATCTCCACCACAAAATATCGCTAAACAATTCTTTTTGGCGACATATCTCCTTGAACGACAACACGCTGAACGTTCTCACAAAATCTTTCTTCTTTACTTCGTTAACCTACACCTACAATTTACTACGCAACAACCAGAACAAGAATCATGTCTACCTTCCGATCAATCATCCTCATCGCTCTTCTTGCCGGCCAAGCCGCCGCCTTTATGACTGCAGGAGGCAAGACCTCTACCAAGTCTTTGACTTCACTTGAGTCCTACAACCGCAACTATAACCCAGTTGGAGGCATGGGTGGAGGCTATGGTAACGAACGTTACATGGACCGCGGCATGGGCGGTGGCATGGGTATGGGTGGTGGTAAGTCTTTCCTGGCCCTTGACTGCATCAACGAACCTTTGTTATTTTGAATGAATCGTACTGACTGTTTCCTTTCTTTCCTTTCCTTTCCTTTTTTGATTCATTGAATAGGCATGCAACGCTACAACGAATACAACCGTGGCGGATACGGTGGTGGATACGACAACCGCTACAATGACATGAACCGCGGAGGATACAACTCCTACGACCGCGGATATGGAGGCGGCACTATGTCCCGATCCAAGTACGGCGATTGGTTGAATGGAAGCTCAAATTACATTCCCACCAGCGCTGACCGCAACTACGTCATGGATCGTGGACACGAGACCTCTGCGGGACGTTCATTCCCCGGCTACTACAACAGTGGAGACCGATACAACAACAACAACCGTTACAGCGGGGGTGGCTACGACAGAGTAAGCCCCATGAACAACCGAGGATACAACGACTACAACCGTGTTGGCCAATACAACGGTCAATACGGAAACAGCATGAACCGTGGTTACAGCCAAGGATACAACGAGTACGATCGATACTCCCCAGTCGGTTACAACAACAACATGAGCGGAAACCGCTATGGAAGCTACAACCGTGAATACAACGGCGGTTACGACAGAAGCTTGCGCAGCAACGAATACGAGAGAACTTACCGATCGCCCATGGACTCGCACCGACAGACATACCCAAATTATGGGTTCGGTGGACAAGAGGACACTTTTGGATACAAGAAGTGGTGGGATGGCAGCAAGTAAGAGCTGTGTACCTCACCCCCCCTCTCGCTCACCCACGAGCACATATAATATCAATGAAACATAGAAAAACACTTGAAAAAAAACCGAAAAACGAAAAGAAAAATTGAAAAACTTTGGAACAAACAACCCTGTGTTACCATTACTGGAGATTAGACGAAGTAAATTACATAAGAAGAAAGATTATTGGCACCAATATCATAGATTGCATTTCAACTATGGGACACGTACAGTATTTGCTGCCTGCTTCACATTTTTCACATGCAGATCGAATCAATCTTCTCTATCCTTCTACAAAACTGCAGTATGAAGCTCCGTCATCCATCACCAGCAGCAGCACCGAGTGCGGTAGTGTACGTGTACATAAACTTATAGGATGGTTATATTCAGTTCGTGAAAAAAATTTAACACTGTGGGTATCGAGCATCTCGCAAAAGTGGAAGATTGTTGAATCAGTGGAACTAGCTGGTGGTTGGTGGTGGCATCCACGGTGATATTAGGTGACGTCCAGCAGTGGGTGCAAAGCAAACCGTATCCGACGAGGTGATGTGCCAAATCTCCTCGTTGTTATAGTGTCTACTAGTACCAGATCCCCATCTCATCTCGCGTACACACACACACACACACACACACACACGACAAGTTCGAAAGTTGAAGCGTTCGTCGTCCAAGCCGTGGCACAACATTTACTGGATGCAAAGCAGCAGCAAACCGTATCCAGTAATTGATTGATTCATCGAATTCGATGAGATGGGCTCAATCTTTTCACTACAGTATGCAGCAACCTTCCTCGTCGTTTTTGTTGTGGGTATCGAGAACTTGGCAAACATTTGACTGCTTTTGTCGCCCAAGCCCAGTGGCACTCGAGGCGGCGGCATCCAGATTGGGATGCAACGCAAACCATATACAGCCAGTGCTGCATTCCATTCAGTTCAATTCAATATAATGGGCGAATCAATCAATCAATCTTCTCGTTCTGGTAGTGCCTGATAGTATTCAGCAGGTCATCTGCTCTCTCAGTTTTGCTTGGTTGGAAAAAAAAGGCCATCTGATCAATTTCATTTTCCTGTCGACTGGTATGGTGAGGAGTGTGAGTTTTGCAAGAGGTCATACCAGTAGCATTTCAATTTTGAAAAATAAAATGAGATGCTTCCGAATACAAAGATCCCCCAGATTGCTTCCTATCGCGGACCATACTACATACAGTATGCATTCCAACCAACGGAAGTCGTCGTGGTCAAATAATCATTCGACTACGTCATTCATGCACTCCTAGTGACTCTTGTCCTCTCCAGAACACTTGTCCTAACGAAGCCTTCTAGAATTGCATCATGGGCGATTAACAACTTTCAAGCAAAGGGGCACAATGTCAAAATGTTGCATCTTGAGGACTGTGGATTGTCGTTTCGACTTTTCCGCAGAATTAGTCGTCGTTTGTCATTCATTTTATATATACACCTGAAGCAACCGCATTTTCCATATATATATATTGTAGAAAAGTTGGTTGGTGCAATCGATGGTGTTCCTGAGCACACATTCCATTCCAGGTCTTCGAAATCCAAGGCCACCAGATAATATCACTGCTCATTGACCTGCAACGTAGAAGTTTTCGGGTGTAGAATGGTCTGGATCTTCATCGAATTCTCAGTTAGTATCACCAGTCTGCCTCGATACGAAGTAAAACAAGGATTTGAGCGGTGTCTTTTGAACTCCATCTCGGGCAATATTTCAATTGTCCGTCATCTTTTAGTCAGGTCAATAGCTCAGTTTAGTGTTTGGCACATACATCCAAACCTCTGCTATCGACCAGCTGACAGCGATGCTAAAGATTCTTTTTGCAAGTGAGAATCTTGTGAACACTTCCATTCAGTCACTCCCACAAGTTCGAGTGATGCGTCGGCAGCATTTTGGCGCTTCTTTCCCCCCAAAAGATGAATATGACGTAAGCGATTTCTGACGTGTCCGCCAGATGTGACCCACTTTTACTTATCGCAGAAACAAGAGTACTGTACGCACGAGAATCTCCCTAAGTCTGTCGTCAGTTCGATCAATTCGAATCGCTGACTTGAAATTCAACGGAAGCTGTGGATCCGCTGATAATGCCACCTGTGAAATCTGATTGGTGATTTGGTATTCTCGGCAGATGTTCGGCGGTGGCCAAATCGTCGCCACGTCAACGATGACATCGCTATATTTCTCGCTCTTGTGTTAGTTCCCTCCACCTCAAACGATCGCATTCTTTTGGCAGACGAAACTCCATCGAAACAACGACCAACAAAAACAAACCAACAAGGACAATGAAGACCTTTAGTCTCGCACTTCTCATCGCCCTCTTCTTTGGCAATGCTGCTGCCTTCATGACTGCGCCTTCCAAGGCCGCGGTCAAGGTTGACACTAACTCTGCGGAAGAGTCCTCCACCTCGTTGCAGTACGGTTACGGTAAGTAGAAACCAGTACTGTACAATTGTGTGTCTAGGACTACATGCGACGAAATGGCAGAAAGAAAGAAAAAAAAGGGGTAATTGTTCCATCAACACACACTACAAATACATTCTTCTCACACGCTACCCTCTCTCCCTTTTAGGCCGTTACAACAGCTACTACGGTGGCGGTGGATATGGTGGAGGCTACTCCCCCTACTACAATGTCGGTTACGGCGGTGGCTACGGCATGGGCTACGGCAGTGGTTATGGTGGATACGGTGGTGGATACGGCAGTGGATACGGTGGATATGGAGGAGGTTACCGAAGCCCCTCCAGATACTACGACTGGAATGAACGCACCACCTACACCAACCCCTACCTCAATGTTGGATACGGAGGAGGCTACGACCGTTACCGTTATGGAGGATACGGTGGCGGCTACGGCATGGGCGGATACGGTGGATACGGCGGCTATGGAGGATACGGCGGAGGCTACGGGGGATATGGTGGCTACGGACGAGGCTATGGAGGAGGTTACTACTACTAGGCACCAGGCATACAAAACAACCTGTGTATTGTATATATAATAAATATTGGAGACTAGAGCAAGTAAACTGCATATAAAAAATGAAAGCTTTTCTGTACAAAATTTTGATGATTTGATGCCACCACTATCAATATCACTAGCCAAAGTGATACATATGATTGGTATCAAAAAGGGAAAACAGGTAAACTTGCGTTGTGCTGAAAAGTTTCATGCCACTCTAGCTAGCGATTGCAACTTCAACTGCAACTGCAATTAGCATCATATTCCTCGTCCGATGCAAGATTTTGATTTGATCTTGGCATCTTCTTGTTGATCAGATACATTCGTGCTGTCTGAACAAGCTGACAAAGGTAGATGACAGCTGGACGATGTCATGATTAAATGTGTCCTCGAATCTTCTCAATAAACCACTGTTTTGTTAGCGAGGTAGAAATAACCTTCCTTGAAACTCACACACACGATCCAAACTGTGTTTGAGATTGTAGCATCACATATTTTATACTAATAGATGTTGACTTCCGAATTCTAAACTGTTGATGACTTACTCACTTTGGAGACATCTTCACGAGGGATATAGATGGAAAGTGACTGATGTCAGAATATTTTTGGCGCAAGTCAAAATGACGTGTCTCGGTTGAAGATTGAAAAAAAAAACGCGTACCCAACCAGTATTTTCTCATCGTGACTCAAGCAGTCCCGTTATTCGACCAATCTACATTGCATGTTGACTGAAAACTGTCCCGTCCAATAATACAAGAGCTGGATACGCAGCACAAGCATTGGGGATCCACTGTTATACATATATATACACAACTACTCCGTTCAAGAACACTAATGTTATTTCCTATTTGGGTCTACCCATTGGGAATAGTACTAATACCTCTTGTATTGGTGACCGTTGCCTACAAGAAGAAGAAATTTGATTCACTTCCAACCACCAAACCCAAGATTTGGTTCCTTCCCAAATACCAATTCAAAGTATGGGACAGTAATACTAACAAGAGTATCCATCCCTCCTCCATCCAAGGACGAATGAGCCATCTCAGAATAGTTGAAACGCTCACGGACCCCAATCGATCCTCCTCTTTCTTGGAACTACCACGACAGGAGAACATCAACAATCGAAAATCAGACGATGATGCTATTCTACTGCAAGACGATGATAACAACGAGCTTATTTTTACTACCAAAACTGGATCACGGTATGGGGATTTTAGCCTTGAATTTGTGAAGGCCAAAGTTTCTATTCAACCCCAAAAGAATTTGATCAGAGTTGAATATGATGCTATTTGGGGTGTGGCCTTTGATACCGGTGATCTATGGGAATTTGCTCAAAGGATTAAAGCTGTATTGGACGACAATAATGATAACCAGTGAAGAAGTGAGGTTGGTACTATGGAACTGGAAAATGGATTTGCTTATCACAAATAGGACCTACAGTAATACTTCAGGAACCAGGGAAAGAGGAAGTTTGCAAAGCGAATTTATGGGAAGGATGAGGGAAGAAAATGATGTTACTTCTTGTCCAATTGTGATCCTGCAATTTCGATGGAAAGAGGACTATCGTCGTGTCCAGCAAGTTCTGGAGCATGCTCCAACAGCAACTACTAGAAAACAGGGCATCGATTACAATTTAATTTACTATAATTATTAATATAATAAATAATACATCAATTGATTATTTATTCTGTCGAAACGGGAGCAGCTTTGGCCTTTTCCTGCATTTTGGGAAGTTGAAAACCCTTCTGAGCCAAAAGACTTTCGGTATACTCCCACAATTCCATTCGCAACTTGTCGCTTTGGGCAGTTGCCGTTGGTTCCGTAACCGCGCAGTTATCGTAGTAGGCCCCCTTTTCCACAAGCCGAGCCATGGCACAGTAGATGGTCGTCGCCGCTCCTTGTTCTAGATTCTTGTTGGCAATGAGGCCCACGACTGGTTGCAAAAACCAAGGCACGGTGTGTTTCCAAAGCGGAGACTTGATCACACCGGGATGCAAACAAACCGATTTGATCGCACAACCATCCGCACTGTAATAATCATCCAGTTCGGATTGCAATTGCTTGGTAAAGAGGATATTGGCGAGTTTGCTCTTTCCATAGGCCCCCCATGGGGAATACGAGTCTTTGGATTCCCAATCGGTCAAGGGTTCTCGAGCCATAGTGTGGGCCGTAGAGGCCACGTTGATGATTCGTCCGTGTTCTTGGTTCATGTTTGGGAGCAGTAAGCGAGTCAAAAAGTGATGACCAACGTGGTTGGTTCCAAACTGCAGTTCGATCCCGTCCTTGGATTCTGTTCGTTGTTTCAACGCCATGATTCCCGCATTGTTGATCAAACAATCGATGGTTCCGTATTTTTCACAAATAGTGTTGGCGGCTTCTTGTACCGAACTTAGATCCGACAAGTCCATGTATTGAACATCGATGCGATCTTGTGGTTGTGGTTGTTGTTGCTGCTGCTGTTGCTGTTGTGGTTGGTCCATCAATAAGGATTGCTTGAGCTCGTTTCCGGCTTTGACATTTCTTACGCAGACGACTACCGTCATGCCGGCATTGACCAAAGTCTTGATGGTCTCCCCACCAATTCCGGAACTTCCCGTAATAACGGCGGTGCCTCCATTCTGTACATAGGGTGCGAATGATGATTGATCGTGGTTTGGATCCAATGATAGTAAGTAATTGTACACTTGATTGGCCGTGGATTTGGGGCCCAGCAATGTCATTGCCGAGATGATGGAAGGAAGGGTGGTGATTAGTAGTAGCGTGAGGCTGTGGAGTACTTTCATGCTTTTCTATGACCAAGGTCTTAGTTTGAAGTTGCTGTCTGACTACTCGTACCGGTACTGCATAATTGAGAACTGCTACTCGTCTTCAAACACGAATGATGACTGACTCATCTTCGAAAAACATGCAGAATATGGGACGGAAACAAAAATGTGTGACACCAAGGGCGCAGATGAGCGCCGGGGCAAGACCTTTAGTGCGTCACATATATTTTATGTTAGTTAAAATATACATGCAATAAAAGACGCTCAGCTGATCCAAACGTTGACCAACGTCAGATGAGATGACAAACGACAACACACAACAATCGATTGATCAATTTGGACTTTGAAGTTTGGGATGCGTCTCTTCGGCATCACAAACTTATTGGCTAGCTAGTACTAGATACTATAGGCTATAGCTAATAGCTACTAGTTACGTACCTACCCAACTTACATGTTTACTTACTTATACCGTCAATAGCATCGTAAGTTTAAATGTATCCAATCTTCTCAGCACCATTTTGTCTTGGTCTTGTTTCGTGTATCTTCAACACGTTCATTTCAGCACAAGGTAGAAATAACCTACCTTCCTTGAAACTTACACACACGATCCAAATCGTGTTTGAGATTGTAGCATCATATATTATATATTAAAACTAATAGATGTCGATTTCCGAATTCTAAACTGTAAAAGAACTTGGTGACTTACAGTACTTACTTTGGATACATCTTCCCTCGGAAGTCGAGAGATATGATACTATAGATGAAAAGTGACTGATGTCAGAATATTTTTGGCGCACAAGAAATGACGTGTTCTCGGTGGGAGACGTTACTTATTGCCTCAATACGCACCCAAAACATGTCGTTATGTAAAATCGCATATGTCATCCAATTTCTCGTGCGTTAGATTTGTTTTCGCTAATTGAGCTGACGCGTCCTTTCAACGGACTCAAAAACAGATGTTTTTTCGCCAATGAGAATGATCGGACACGTAATAATGCCACCTCCGTAATCTGATTGGCCCTCCGTCATTCTTTGCCGTGAAATCTTCACCACGTCAGCCTAGGATCGACGATAGCGATACTGTACACCCCGGAAATCGATCGCTAGAGTGACGTCCAAGTTCCCCTCTCACATCAATCAGGTCACATTCTTTGCTATTGCCATTTTCGAAACTTCGAAACATCAATCAAAGCATAAACAATAACAATGAAGACCATTTCCAGTCTCGCACTTCTTATCGCCCTCTTCTTGGGCAATGCTGCCGCCTTTATGACTGCTCCCTCCAAGGCTGCTGTCAAGGTTGACACTCCAGAAGAATCCTCTACGTCGTTGAAGTACGGTTATGGAATGAGTAAGTAAACGAAGTAGTACGCCACGATTGAGGGCTCAGCATGAACACGCTGTTCTGACATCTTTTTTTCTCTCTTAGGCCGCTACGGATCACCTTCTTATGGAGGTAACGATGGATGGGGCAGCTACGACCGGTACGTTTTAAAAGTCGACCTTGAATGGATGCTTCATGTTCATGCCAATCAATTACTTACTTACTTACTAACCTACTTTCCAACTCTCCACTCGTTAGAATGAACAGCTATAACTACAATGGATACTATGGCCGTGGATACGGTGGAGGCATGGGTGGCTACGGTGGTGGCTACGGCATGGGTGGAGGATACGGCGGATACAGCAACATTGGTTGTAAGTAAAACTAGTTTTGTTTTCACGATTGAAATTCTGACGTTTTGTCCAAGTCACGATTGACTAACAATAACAACAACACGTTCGTTTCTTTCTTTCTTTCTTTCTTTCTTGACTAATTCATTCTACAGACGGTAGTGGCTATGGAGGATACGGAGGAGGCTACGGCATGAGTGGATACGGAAGCGGCTATGGCGGAGGTTACGGAAGCGGCTATGGAAGTGGCTACGGTAGCGGCTATGGAAGTGGATATGGCCGAGGATATGGAGGAGGCTACTCCAGCATTGGATACGGAGGCATGGGTGGATATGGTGGTGGTTACGGAGGAAGCTACGGACCATACTCCTCTGGTTACGGATACGGTGGCCGAGGTGGCAGCTACGGTCGCTACGGAGGAAACTGGTGGGACTATTAGGCACTCTCATCACACGTCAATGACGGTGTGTGTGTGCGTGCTTGATTTGACCTTTTCACTACATCTTTTTGCATCATTGAAACCCAAGCTGCAGACTGCCTCGGTCTCTTTTGACTGACTTGCTTGAAAGCTTCCTGTCGTTGTTCGATAGGGGGTGGAACAACCAGAACTTCAAGAAGAGTTGATATTTCATTATTTCATGCTGGTAGTTCTGCTTTCTGAATTAAAATCTGTGTAATATTTTTCATACAATGACCTTGCGCTTTTATATTTGTTGTTATTATATTTGTCAAATCATCAACATCTGTGTTGCAGCTTGTTTGTTTGTGTCAGTCCAAGTTTCTTGGCTCTTTGCATTCATTGATTGAGTAGTAGTAATGTCTTCTTGTCAATGTTCTCCTACTGGTGCGATCCATCCTTCATCACGATGTTTGATCGGACGATAGAAGAGAATGAAATCCAATGAGAGGTTGAACTCTAACCATAGAATAACACATTAACATAGAGGACTAACAAAGCATCTTAGTAGCAAAATTACATTATTTGTATAGTATAATATTATCCTAGCAAACTCTGTCGATGGAGGTTCCCGACAACATTTATCATTTCAGCTCGGTCAATGTTGCCACTAGCATCGGAATCCAATGTCTGCATCATGGCCTTGAGCATATCCTGGACTTCAATCGACGAAGCTCGCTTGCCCAAGACGTCAGCTGCCACTTCTTGCATGGCACCGAGTTCGTTATCACTACCAATATGCTTCTTCATGTCTGTGGCGGCAAAGTTGATCACCATCATGTCCACCGGTGTAATGTACCCGTTGTTGTTCACATCCGCCACGGCAAAGACATTTTCTACCACCAAATCCGCAACGGCCTTGCCAAACACCTTGGTGGCGCGTTCCCGGACTTCTTCTCGCGTCAAAACTCCGTCTCCATTGGTATCAATTTCGCTGAACGAACCCATGTCCAACCACATCATGGCAGAGAACATTTCCACCATGACAATCTTGGCGGGTCGGCCTTCGTCGTTGGCACAACTGGCACCACCGCCATGCTCTTTCTCGGCCCATTCTAATAGTGGAACGTGGTTGTCGATTCCTCGCAAGGCATCAATGGGAAGCGTCAGAAGATACTTGTGGCTCGGTTCAAAGGGTTTTCCGCCAATCTTGTGGATCTCGCAAGTAATTTCGTCCATTTCAATTTGATCGCAATGTTGCAAGTATCCTCCGGATGACGAAGGTGGGTCTTGGACTGCCAGTCGCCGTGAATACTTGATCGTCTCTTGGAGAACAATGCCTGGAATGTACACCGTAGTGAGTTCAGTGGGAAAGGGAACCTCGGCCTTCAGATCGGACCAGGTGAACCATTCGTGCTCCTTGGGGTATACTTTTCCGGCTCGAATGGCACCCGAGTTGCATATGCAGCATTCGGATCTCATCCCCATGCGGAACATACTGCAGAGTACCTCCGATCCAGTCGAGGCTCCCAATCGATTGTCCTTGGTGGAAAATACCTTGCCTTCGCCCTTGAGCCAATTGGAGAGCTTGAAAAGTCTGGCGACTTGGAGCTCGTTCAGAATACGTTTGTGACCTTGAACAACCTTGAGGATTGTGCGATCGGGAAGGTACGACTGAGTAGTGACCATATCCACATCAATCTTTGGTTTGTCACCCTTTGCTGCGTCCCACGTGATATCAATAATGGCCGTGTTGTGACCATCCATACCTGTCTTGACGATTCGTGATCCCTCATAGGTTTCGTCATAAGGCTCGTGGTCATGGGCTCCAATGACGATTGGAAATACATCGCCCTTGAAGGTCTTGGAGAATTCTCGGTCGGGATCCATACGTTGATGGGTGAGTGGGACCACCAAGTCCAGGTTCAGAGGATCCATAACATCTCTCATATACGTCTTGGTCATCGCAAGGACTGGTTCAATCGTGGCACCGCCAAACGCACCGGGTCGATACACGGAAGGATCTTCCGTCAACAAGCCCAGAAGTCCAACTTGTTTTTCGACGGATCCATCAGCACTCTTCACCTTGATGACTTCGTGAGGATCCGTCTTTACCTTTAGGACGTCGTCAATCTCGCGCATGTTGGTATTGATCCACGCAAAGTCGGATTCTTCAATGCGTTTGGCCAAGGCGGGCAAGGGGATGTCGCATTCGTGATTTCCAAAGCAGACATGAGTGATGCCACACTTGTTCATGGTATCAATCATACCACGACCCTTGTCCAGTCCACTCAGCAGAGATGGGGCAACAAAGTCACCAGACAAAATGACCAGAAATTTGCCTGGGCTTTGGCCATTCTTGGTTTCTTTTGCTTTGGTATCGCATAAGGTCTTGAAGTTGGGAAAGTTATCCAATTCGTAAACATCGTTGATCTGGATGATGCGTAGCCAAACACCATTTTCCGGAAAGTCTAAATCTTTCTTTGGGGCGTCTTCGATGCCATGCTCCTTCTTGTATTCGGGTGTCTCTTCTAGTTGCCCTTGGTACTTCTTTTTGTTTTTAAGATGGCCCTTGTACTCGTCAAGCTTTTTGGCCTCTTTCTTGCCATGCTCCTTCTCGAGAATCTTCATACTCTTCTTTGCCTTCTTTAACTTCTTTTGTAAAGCTTTGTATCCGAGACCATCACCTTTTCCTTTCTTTTTCTTTCCTTTCTTGCTCTCTTCCTCCTTTGGAATCTCCATTGCGGATGTATCGATTTCAATGTCTCCATCGAGACTCAAATCGCCAGTAGATTCCGCGTCGTCGCTCAAGTCATCGTCTCCTCGACTCATCAGGTCATCTGGATCATCAAAACTCAAGTCACCCGTCTTGGCCGAAGAAGCTTCGCTAATATCATCTGGTTTATCAGCAACCTTAGATGACTGATCTTCCTCCTCATCCAAATCAGTATTCAAAAACTGTTTATTGAACTCTTCATTATCGTTGATACGCATGGTGTAGTCCCCTAGCTTGCGTGTATAAGCCCGATAGAGCTTGTTCTTGGTCCCTTGCTCACGTTCGATTTTGGTGAGAATGTCTTGGACTTTGCGAATCTTCTTTTGCAAAAGCTTGTATTCAGCAGCGCTGTCTTCGCCTTCTGCAGTCATGGTAATATCGACTTTCTATTTAAATTGAAATCTGAGGGTACAATATCAAGATGGATGAAGGATTAGGGGAAGCAACGAGTGGCTTTTGGTTTTCGATTGGAAATATTCGATGGAACGGCTGCCGTAATGTCTGCTTCTATTATGACGAAGAAACAAAGAAAAAAGAAGAAGCCGAGCTTTCAGTCATCGGAAACGGACGCGACTTGCGTGCAGGGTGCGCGAGGGGAACGTGAATACTGTAGGTATTTAAAAACCTAACCTGCAAACGAAGCCATAACCTGCAAACGAAATACCAGTAGTGGTATCCTAATCTATGTCGACAACATGATTTTCGACCATCGTTGCCCTTCCTTGCATTGCTATTTCATCTACTAATCGTTTTCATATGATTTTATGACCATGAATCGTGCTAGTCCTACTTTCTCTCTGCTGAAGTCATATTTGTAGAAAAGTCTCTTCTTAGGACTTGCGCTTCAAGACATCACATCAGATTTTCAACCATCCACACGATATGCAACAACTCTCCATACGGTCTTTCATACAGTCAAAATGTTGTGCCCCATCATTATATGCGACACGCATCGAACAGAAGATACAATATTGAAATAACTAGTAGCTATGGTTCATAGAAAGAAAGTGTTTCGATGCCGATAAGGCAAAGGTAGAGTGTCTAGCGTTATTACCTAGAGCAAGTCAGAAGCTCAGTAATGACAAGATGTGGTGTCATATCATGCTCAATTCTGACTATCCTCTTGCAATGAGAATTGTTCTCAAGGGGGCCACGTTGCTGTGAGCAAGGGCCAAACTCCTTGTCAGTGAGAGACAATAGAGCATTTACTTGAGGTGTCCGATGATTGGAAGATCAGCATCATATCCCAATGGAATGATGAGTTCGTGGACCATAAGTCCAAGGATTCCGAATTGAGCGGCACGGCCGTTGTTCAACTCAATGGCACGCTTTTGAAGCTTGGTCTCTTCATCAAAGTCATCCCATCCGAAGTCAATGTATCCGTTACGGAAGTCACCTGGGAATTCAGCCATTCCTGGGACCTCACGCATGAAGGCGCACTCCAAGATACCGACAGTGGCGATCATCTGCACGATTCCTGCGGTAGGAATGTGGTTGGGGCCAAAGATGGCGGCAACTCCGTTGGGGAAAGAGTCGAAGCTGTCTCCGGCGTAGTTGATGGATCCTGGAAGGTGGATTCCGGCACGGGTGGTGATTTGACCCAAAAAGGCCAACATACAGATGCGTCCGTGCTTCAATTCGACGTAACGAAGACGTTCGAATCGCTCTTCGGTGGCATCTCCGGAGAGCATACCGAAAGGATCGAAGAATCCAAGTGGTGGCTGAACACCAAGCTCGCTCTCGAAAGCATTCAAGGAGCTGGTCTTGGTGGCTGCCTGTTGGGCAGGTGCGAAGGCACTGGCGGTGGCAATAAGGGAGGCAAGGACGGCGGTCTTCATTTTGACTGTTCCTAAGAAATTGTGAGATGTAGTTACGATCGTCTGACAATAGGTGTCATGCATGTCTCGGTTGCAGTTTTGAAGTGCCGATCTTTTTACTGCAATTTTACGTACGTGGGCTACGGAAGTTGAAGTTTCAGCTAGTCATACGAGTCGTAAATGGAACAAATTCAGGAAGCAGAAAAGTTTGAGGTTGAACATGATGAAGCTTGGATCCAAACTCCAAAAAGTTAGCTGAAGAGCAAGAGTGCAGCCAATCAGTCGCAAGCGATGATGTTGGCACGACAAAAAGTCAACGAAAGAGACTATTTTAATGTTGGAGTGAGGTGAATAAGCACACATTACTTGTGAAACTTGTGTTTCAGAGGCATCTTTTGTCATATGCATGATGACTTCATCTTGTAACGCATGGTAAACTTTGCAAGAGCATAGATTTTTTGGATCCAGGAATACGCCTTGTTTTCCTGTCTACTGCAGAAAACAAAGCAGCTGTTTGCTACGTTCTGTGCTTGGAAATCGTGATCTTCAGGGGTGATAGGCGTCTATTGATGAGACGAATGGCCACAGAGCTTGTAGTCCAAGGCGCGGTTTGAACGCTACTACCCCCTTTCAGAAAGACGTATATAAGCATCAAGTGAACACATATGGTTTCTATTTAGTCGTCGCCTTTGTTTTGTTCAGTATTCAGGCTGCCACTAAATCCGTTACTCAATAATCTTTAGCAGCTCCATGTTGAAGATTCTCCATATATGGTACTACGAGTATGCATAACAACAATCAGCAGCGTGGTGACCTATTGCTCCATCTCTAGTTCGATCAAACTGGTGGATTGTGCTCACCGTAGATACATGCTTTCAATCGCTTCAGTCTTTCACTGCCATTGTTCTTTCCAACCACTAAACAAATGCAATTTACACCACGAAACTGATGCACCAAAGATATCTTACTTTAGTATGTTACATGTATTTTAAAATACCAATGTATTAGAAAGGCTTTGATCCATATCTCTGAGGAAGTAAAGTAGATTTGAATCTAGTTTGGGCCCCCAGGAATCCGAATCGAGTAGTGCGAGTTACTACCTGTGCTACCGGTAGATGATGATGACCTCTGAAGAATCTGAAAGCAAATCTGAATCTAACTGAGCCCAATAGGTATTCTAAAATGTCTCATGGCCAATTCCTAGATGATGACCTGATGAGGTACCGGTTGATACCACGCAGCAATACACGGCAGAACGACAAACTTTCTTCGTTTGCAACATCTAAGCAAGATACCAGATTTGTTTCCCGAAATTAAGTGTGGTTTTATTAGTTAAAATCACAAGTCCCACACCAACGGCAGTATTGGTTGGATTCGAGAGAAGCTGAGCACCGTCGAGTTAGCTGTTTACTTGAGGTGTCCGATGATTGGAAGATCAGCATCATATCCCAATGGAATGATGAGTTCATGGACCATAAGTCCAAGGATTCCGAATTGAGCGGCACGGCCGTTGTTCAACTCAATGGCACGCTTTTGAAGCTTGGTCTCTTCATCAAAGTCATCCCATCCGAAGTCAATGTATCCGTTACGGAAGTCACCTGGGAATTCAGCCATTCCTGGGACCTCACGCATGAAGGCGCACTCCAAGATACCGACAGTGGCGATCATCTGCACGATTCCTGCGGTAGGAATGTGGTTGGGGCCAAAGATGGCGGCAACTCCGTTGGGGAAAGAGTCGAAGCTGTCTCCGGCGTAGTTGATGGATCCTGGAAGGTGGATTCCGGCACGGGTGGTGATTTGACCCAAAAAGGCCAACATACAGATGCGTCCGTGCTTCAATTCGACGTAACGAAGACGTTCGAATCGCTCTTCGGTGGCATCTCCGGAGAGCATACCGAAAGGATCGAAGAATCCAAGTGGTGGCTGAACACCAAGCTCGCTCTCGAAAGCATTCAAGGAGCTGGTCTTGGTGGCTGCTTGTTGGGCAGGTGCAAAGGCACTGGCGGCGGCGATGAGGGAGGCAAGGACGGCGGTCTTCATGATTACTTCGATAATCGAGAATTATGAGCCATTTCTACACTTGATCTTGAGGCAAATCGTGATCGGAGTCTGGGCGAATTATCTACGTAGAATCTTCACGTGGAAATAGTACCAATGGCAAGGATATGCCTCAACTTGCGAATATTTTTCGAGCTCCGAACTCTGTCCGAACTCGCAAGTTGAAATTCTGAAATCTTTTTGCTGAAGATTCTATCATCCACCAAGACACCGAAGATACCTATGTTCCTCGATGGATCACACTTGATTTCTTCCTGCTGTAGCAACATTCTTTTTGCCTGATGTAATGCATTCCTTCGCACACGCATCCTGCTTGATCCAAAAGGCAACCTCTTATGTCAAACTCAAGTGATATATGGCACTTATTCTGAATCAGAATCATCATTTATTTGCCATTTTAAGATACCTTTTTCCTTTTGATGAAATGTTTCAGTGTGGTTCAAAGGTGGCATCTCGTTGATGATATCAATGTTTCTCTTTGGCCCGCGCATAAAGAACTTCTTACATTATGTGATTGCTGGAAGCAAATGAATTGATTTCACAGAACAACTGTAGTGTATGATTTTCACAACAAAGAGGCAGGACGGCGCCGCGAGCGACGGAGAAGGGATCTATGGTGGATTCATTCCGAAAATGTCGACTCAGAACCAACGCACACAGGAGAGAATCGGGCCTCCATGTGCGCAAGACTTGAATTCTTGACTCAATGTCACTGATGGAAATGATTGATTTCAGACCATTTGAACCAGATCCTCAGCAGCCAGCCTCGAAGAATGGGGAGCACTACGGACTACAGTACCACTGCTGTCACCCACAAAGATGACATAATTACTGTTATTATTAGGAAACTTTCGGTACTTTATAGAAACGAATCTTTGGACCATTGTTATTGTGCTTCTACTCCTCTAGTCGTGTTTTAATTTAGCAATAGTAGCAATGGGGGAGTTGCCAACGGAATCGTAAACTAGACCCCACTGCCAGGCATGTCAGTAGTTTGATGGAATGCGCTACTTTGCAACGATGCAGCATGCTGTCATTATGCTCCCTTCCATATGTTCAACTAATGGGTTTTCTATAATGTCGAAAAGGAGATTGATTCATTCCGCTTGCTTTTCATGAGTGTAGGGGTTCTCATCAGTATTACAGCGGCCAGTGCGAAAAGAAGCACCCCTCTGTGATCACTTGATTCTTTATCTTTCATTTGCGGAAGATGCACGTCGTGGTGATTGCGTCGATTTCGAGAAAGGCCTAGTTGCTAACTGGAAGCGATCACTTCTGATCGATGTTTCAAATGTACAATTTCACTACACAATTTTTAATCCTACCGGTATGCAAGTCCTAAGTTTCTGTGTTTCTCTTTCTTCTTCTCATAATAATATTCGTGAATATATTTGTCGAGTATCGAACAATCCCTAATCAGATCTTTGATGTCAAATCATAAACATGCATTCATTCAGTCTTGCGAATGATTCTGTTTTACTTGTCGTCATCGCCCACAGGGACCATTTCTACCATCAAGCCATTGTCTTGAAGACTGGCATAGTATAATTCCGCAACTTCAAATGCATATACACCAATGACACCCATGCCATTCTTATGTGCTTGCATCATAATCTGATAGGATTCGGTATCTGATTTTCCACAAATGGTGGACAAGCAACGGGCAACGAATTCTCTCTTGTTGAAGGGATCATTGTACAGACGCACTTCCCAGGTTCCTGGATCCTCTTTGTCCTCGAACTCTATGGCATCCTCCTTGTCCACTTTCTCGATCGTCTCGGGATCCAACGTTGCCGGACCCGCAGCAGACAAACGCTGAGAAGAAGTGGTGATGTGTCTTTGAATTCTTTGTTGAGTAGCAATTTGGAAGCTTTGAGAGAAACCAAAGAGGGCCAAGATAAGGATGGCGAAGAATCTAGAGGTAGAGAGCGACATGCTTAGGTGGATGATACTGATTTCCTTTGTGTATACTCTGTAGGGGTGCTTCTCGTAAGTGTAGTGTTCGTTCGATGCTGCACTTTCTTTGCGTTGGATTGCGTCATGCATGATGTGTGCGGTTCGCTGAGTTGGTTACCGTTGGAGAAATGGCAAATCGGAGCAACCACAGTAATGCGATTTATTGAAGATAAGAAATATTTTTGCAGCAGTCGCATTTATTATTGAGGAACGGGACTCCAAAATGAAACAAACGCGTATGGTAGCCAGCAACAAAATGCACACGGCTTGTTTAAAACCAATCCATCCAAAAGTTTTCCATTTTACATCAAAACCATACCCTAGGCCAGTTGCTCGATGTCTCGTCCAACTGACATCATGTCAACAATAACGGAAGTTTCATTCTCGAATGATAGTAGTGAGAATAGTGAGAATGAAGGTTTGATTCCTGAAGTATTGATGAAAGGGTTGAGCCTATCTCAAGTGACTGAAATATACAAGGACAGATTATCAGAAGATAATGTCGTGGCAATTGCACGAAGACTGTTGATTGAAATTGGATCCAAGCATGAACAAAAAGGCCAAGTTGACACTGATGATTGGGATGATGATTCAGAAGCTAGTCTGGGAAATGGCAGAATCAATAGAAACCAGCACTTCTGTTCGATTGGGATTGACATTCTTCGCCGTTCACCTTGCGATCTTTTGACGGGATCAGAACTCTTGAAGCATCACATTGCCAACCTATCACAGAGTGCTCCAGAAGAATTCCTTGATCCTATCTCTTTTGACATCATGCATGATCCTGTGGTCATTTCGTCTGGATTTGTTGTGGATCGAAGTACTGCCATCAATCAAAGCTCAGGAGAGCTTCAGCTTGCTACCTGTCCATGGTCACGAGTGGAACTGAGTCCTGAGCTTTATCCTGCTTTGCGATTGAAGCAGAAGATGACAGAATTCAAGTCTGGTCGAGTGGATGAAATGATCGAAACTGCGTCTCTTTTGCTCAACGCCAAGAACGAGCGCGACTTTTGCAAAGTTTTCGAGCTGGCGCAGGAGTTCATGGATGACATTGGGCCCAACGGACACCGAGAACTTGCTGTGCAATTGGCAGAGTTGGTTCTTTCCACGTTGACCTTGAAGCCTTCTGACCCTTCGAGGTTGTGCATCCTTCAGCCATCAGTGTTGACCAAACATTTTTTAATGTTGCATTCATTGAAGCAGGCAACTCTCGTACAAGCATACCTCCCTATAAAGGCTTTCCAGATGAGCGAAATGGTACAAAAGGCAATTGGCGGAAACCAGTTTGATGAAGCTGAAAAGTGGCTTGCCTGCTGCACCGAGATTCAGGATAAGTGTGAGGATTTGCTAACTGGTAACAAGGAAATACCTTTGGGTAAACTGCATTTGGATCTTGCCGAAAAACGGGGAGGTAACCACCTGGAAGTTTTTGTGAACCGCTTTACAAATATTGAAATGGCCTTTATTCTGAGGTCCTGGGGTTTTGCTCAGGAGACAATTGACGAGATGACACGATGCGCTCGAGTGTATGTCATTCGCGATATTTTGATAGTGAATTGCTCCGATAAAAATTTGGAGAGGGTTTTCAAGACGCGTTTGGCGGAAGCCTGTGACCTAACAGATGTAGCTCGGAGGATATTCGCGGTTGATTGACTCCTCTGCCATGCTGCGCTTTCAAACTTTTTCCTATACCGGTAGTGAAGAAATTACTTCAAAACAGTATGTTGCTTTCTTTTATTTTATTCTTCCTGATCGGTCAAATTTGGAATATATCCGATCCACAAACCTCGCCTTTTATTACACCGTCAACCGTCAATGCACCATTAATGTCTTGTCGAAAAGTTCGTCCATGTGTCCCGAATTTATATTGATGATCGCATCTATTAGTATTTGGAGAACTGGTAGTTCGGAGCAATAGTAATATTTTCACTGTGCAATGTGTTATACTCATTTCTATTTTTTATAATATAGAGTTATTACTGTATATATTTGCAGGAAGCATACGCGTATGGTAGCCAGCAGCAAAATGCACATGCACAGCTTGTTCAAAACCAATCCATCCAAAAGTCGTTGTCTTCTTGCATCAAAAGCATACCCTAGGCCTGTCCCTCAATGACCCTTTACAAGATCCCAAAGCAGGCTTCAATCTCGTGCAACAAACGTCATCAGGCTAAGTGGTGGAATGACTATAGTAACAATGAAGGTTTGATTCCTGAACTCTTGACGAATGGATTGAATCTGTCTCGAATGATTGAAATATACAAGGAGAGGTTATCAGAAGAAAACGAGAAAACGTTGTGGCAATTGCACGAAGACTATTGATTGAAGTTGGATCCAAGCATGAACAAGAAGGCCAAGGTGGCTATAGAAACCAGAATTTCTGTGCGATTGGGGTTGATATTCTTCGCCATTCACCTTGCGACCTTTCGACAGGATCAGAACTCTTGAAGCATCACATTGTCAACCTATCACAGAGTGCTCCAGAAGATTTCTTCGATCCCATCTCTTTTGAAATCATGCGTGATCCTGTGGTCATTTCGTCTGGATTTGTTGTGGATCGAAGTACTGCCATCAATCAAAGCTCAGGAGAGCTTCAGTTTGCCACCTGTCCATGGTCACGAGTGGAACTGAGTCCTGAGCTTTATCCTGCTTTGGGATTGAAGCAGAAGATGACAGAATTCAAGTCAGAGCGGGTGAGTGAAATGATCGAAACTGCATCTCTTTTGCTCAACGCCAAGAACGAGCGCGACTTTTGCAAAGTTTTCGAGCTGGCGCAGGAGTCCATGGATGACATTGGGCCCAACGGACACCGAGAACTTGCTATCAAATTTGCACAGCTGGCTCTTTCCACTTTGGACCTCAAACCCTCCGACCCCTCAAGGTTGTGCATCCTTCAGCCACCGTTGTTGACCAAACAATTTTTAATGTTGTATGCATTGAAGCAGGCAAATCTCGTACAAGCATACCTCCCTATAAAGGCTCTCCAGATGAGCGAAATGGTAGAAAAGGCAATTGACGGAAACCAATTTGATGAAGCTGAAAAGTGGCTTGCCTGCTGCACCGAGATTCAGGATAATTGTGAGGATTTGCTAACTGGTGGATCTTGCCATAAACCGGGGAGGTAACCACCTTGAGGTATTATTGAATCTCTTTACAAATATTGAAATGGGCAAGATTCTGAGGTCCTGGGGTTTTGCTCAGGAGACAACCTTCGAGTTGACACGATGCGCTCGAATGCATGTTATGCGCGATATTTTGACAGAGCGAACCGAGAAATGGTTGAAGAGGGTTTTCAAGACGCGTTTGGCGGAAGCCTGTGACCTAACAGATGTAGCTCGGAGGACAATCGCGGTAGAATATTGATTCTCTCATGCTGCGACTTCAAACTTACAGTACTGTGATACTGAAGCCATTATTTCAAAAGAGTATGCTGGTTTCTATATTTTATTCTCACGGTTAAAATGGATGGCCCCGTCCAACATAACAATAGTGCCGCCTTCAATTGATACCGCATATGAACTTTGGAAAGAGGTTAATCGGAGAAACCATCATAGTATTTTTATAAAATAGATTGCATGCAATTTGGAACTTGGTATCCATCTGGGACAGTTGGGTTATTTCACGTTGGACAGGAAACCTTCTGACCCTTCCAGATCATGCATCCTTCCGCCATCTTTGTTGACGAAACAACTGTTGATCCTATGTGCCCTACCTATTGCCGAAGGAATAATCTCTTGATAAGTATATATACCTCCCTAGAAAGGTTCCCAAGATAAGCAAGAAGGTCCTCTGGTATATACATTGTCCGAGCCTCCAAATTGTTTCCTTGCTCGTCGAGGATATATATACGCCATGTTATGATATTGTACGAATCAATCTGCCGTTGGGGTTGGGGTCTCTCGAGGATTGTGCCAGTCAGTCCATCACTGTGAAGACAATCGATCAGTGATAATAAGATTGTTTGGCGGTCATGGTGGGAATCATTGCCACCGATGCGATGGATGCGATGGATGCATACTGCACGACCACAGTACTGTCCAAAATATTACGTCGCCTATCATAACTCGTGAATCTTGGGTTTGCGTTGGATCTTCTCTAAAACTCCAAACTCGGTACTGGGTCTTGGTGATTGAATCCCAGATGTACTTGTACTGCAGGCGAGAGATAGAGAGAGATGTTTCGGTGATGGATGGTTGCTCCCAAGATACCCAACAAGATTCGCTCGACGAACACGTGAGGTTGGCCAATGGCAAGATTCATTTTGGGAGCTACTATAGTCCTTGTTTCGAAAATTAGTTCCATGACCCAGCACGTGTCGGCGTTCATACGAATACTCAAATCTGTCATAGTGACATGTCGCACACGATTCGATCGTGCAAAACGGAAGTTCCGTCTAGCTAGAAAAAGTACCATGTCTACGTTGCGGTAACACGCGCAAGCTCGCCTCTTTCGGTTCCAACCTCAAAGAAAAATGCGCCTTGCAAGAGTGAGTGAGAGACTTTTGTGAGTAGACCCAAGGCTGTGAAATTGGAAAACCGATTGACTCACCACCATCAACAAAAGCTTTGATTCTTTTGTGTGTTTGTCATATATTTCTAGCTGGAGCCCCCTTTTTTTGGTGTCCATTTCCAAAAAAGTCATTCCTCCTTCAATACTCTCCTAGGTTGCAACAACATCATCACCATCCTTGGTAAAGCAAAAGCAAAAGCAAAAGCAAAAGCAAAAGCAATTCAGAATACATTTCATATAGAAAAAAAGATTCAAAACCATGGCAAGAGAAAGCTCCAAAGACAAGACCAGCAGCAAGCGAAGAGAAAGCAAGTATGATGGTGACGACAATGATGATGATGCTAATAATAATAACAGAGAACACAGACATAGATCATCGAAACGTCACAGCAAGAGACGGTCTTCCGTAGAAGGAGAGAAGGATAAAGATCGCAAACATTCTTCGACTCGCAAATCTTCTTCCAAAGGCCGAAGCAAGAGCGGAGATCGCAAACACAAAGACCATGCTGATTCTTCTTCTACTAAGGCTACGACTCACAAGAAGAGAGCTTCGAGTGTGGAACACAAAGAAAAAGAAAAGTCTAGTAATAGACATTCGCGAAGAACCAGCCGGACCATTGAGGATGATGCCAGGGAAGCTTCCAAGGCTGCTCCTTCTGCTGCTGCTGAAGAACCCAAGCATCACCGATCTTCTAGTTTGGAGAATCGAAAGTCTCCTTCCATGGAGAGGAATGAATCAGAAGCGACACCAGCAGCTGCACAAACATCTTCTTCTCCTTCTCGTCCTCCTCCTACAGCAGCAGCAGCAGCAGCAACTACCAAACCATCCGTTGCACAGCGCTCCTCCACAGCACCATCACCACCAAGATCTTCCAAGCCTGCCGATCCCCCAGCACCAGCTGTTGTTGCTGCTGTTAGTGCACCCAAGCCAACACCACCCAAACCACAACCACCAGCCGCTACGACTCCCACTTCGGTGGGACAATTGCGACAAAAGCTGGAGGCTGCCGCTGCTACTTCTCGGGCAGCTGCTACAGGACAGGCGCCAGCATCACCAGCCAAGGCACCCCAACCAGCAGCAGCTTCCAAGACCGCAGTGACTCCACCTGCAGCCCCAGCCTCCGCGTCTTCCACTCCTTCCAAAACGTCTCTGCAATCGGTGGGACAATTGCGACAAAAGTTGGAGGTTGCCGCAGCTACTTCTCGAGCGGCTGCGGTCCATGCTCCTCCTTCTCCACAACCAGTACAGGCGGCCACTCCAGAATGGCAACAATTGCTCCAAGAAGCCAACCTTGTGCCAGCAACCACCACTACAACAACTAGTGCAAGTAGTACACCGGCACTTGGAATGGCAACCACTACCACCACCAGTAAGGCGGCATCCTCTTCGCCTCACAGGAAACCAACACCCACTTCTTCTTCTCCGGCCCGCAGTACACCTGCCAAAAATCCATACGACAAGGCCCAAGAACAAGTCATTCGAGCACCACCCACACCCACCACTCCGGGAAGACAATCCGTGGGACAATTGCGTCAACAAATGGAAGCCAAGGCTGCTGCTGCATCTGCGGCGTCTGTAGTAGTGGGACCACCATCTCCCATTCGAAAGACGGCACAAGCACCATGGGTCGTGCCTTCTACTACAACTACCACCACAACAACGAAAACAACAACAACTTCTACTTTACCCAAATCATCACCAAGTCGTTCTTCCAAGGTGGAGGAGATTCGTCAAAAGCTGGAAACTACCGAACAACAGCAACAACAACAACAACAACAGCAACTTGACACTACCATGGATTCGGGAGCAGCCGTGGCATTGTCTCCCTCGAGACAGTCCACGAATGAAATTATTCAAAAGTTCAATCGATCTTCCAGCAATCGCAACCTGCAGGACGAACATACTGAACGAAGGGAGAGTGGTAGTAGTCGTGGCTTGCACCGTGAGCCCAGTCGTCGAGAACGTTCTTCTGCATTGGAGGATACTCCGGATCGAGGAGGAGCAACAACAACAACAACAAGAGGAGAGTCTCGAAAAGATTTGGAACGAAGCTCCAGTCGAAGAGGAGGACATGAGGATGGAGATCGCAAAAAAGATTCGAACAATTATCGTCGTCATTCATCGGAACGAAATTTGGATCGACAAAAGTCCAAGCGTAAAACTGATACCACAAAGACGCTCATCACATCCACCACCACACAAAGCACCCTCGATCTACAGGTAGCAGAGCAAGTAGACCTTGATGCATCCAAAGACAACAACAAGAACAAGAAGCGCAAACGCAAATCCAAGCGTCAATCTCAAAAGAAATGCCGTGGTCCGGTAATGTGTCTCATTGTCTGCTTGCTGCTATTGGGTGTTTTGGGTGTGGGTGCATGGATGTGGTTGCGCATGCGTAATGTAAGAGCCCAAGCTGTGGACAATGAACCACTGTTCGGTGGTGATGATAATACTGCTGCTGATTCCATACCCACACCCGTCTCACCCTCTCCTCCTATGCCTACCACTATGCCTGATGTGATACCACCCACATTCAAACCAACGAATATACCAACTGTTGAACCTGGATTGCCGACTGTTTCTCCTTCTCAATTTCCAACGATACAGCCTACTGCAACAGCATCTTGGGGTCCTACCATTCCTCCATCCGATGTTCCATCGGCGGCGCCAACCACCCAGTCCGAATGGATTGGAAATGTCATTTTTGACGTGGCTCGATTCGGTGGAGAAGAGTTCAATCGGCCAGATACCTACCAACGCAAGGCGATGGAATGGATCTTGGTGGAAGGAAACAACATTGCCATTGCAGTTTCCAATGAAATGTCCTACGAAGAGTTGGTGGTCCAACTCTACGCCCTCGCTTGTACTTACTACAGCACCTACCAAGTCGCCAATGATGTCACCAGTGTCTTGCTAGACGCCGAAGAAGTTGGTCCTTGGATCAATTCGGATCGTTGGATGATGTCGGCTTCCAATGGCGGATGCGACTGGTTTGGAGTGATTTGCAATCGTCGTGGACATGTGGAAAAGATCAGCTTGCCCAACAATGGGCTCAGTGGAAACGTTCCTCCCGAGCTTTCACTACTCAAGGATTCCATCTTGTACCTTGATTTGTACAATAATGACATTCACAATGTGGGTGAAAATGGAAACTCCTTTTTGGGTGAAATGACCAATCTTCAGTACCTCTACTTGGGTCAAACCTTTTTCGAGCACGATGGGATTCCAACCCAGTTGTCACGCCTCTCCAACTTGGTCGAGTTGGACATTTCCTTCACCTCTTGGTTTGGACCATTGAAGTCGAATCCTTGGTCCAGCCTGGTCAATCTGGAATACCTCGTCATGAATGGCAATGTATTCAACAATACGTTGCCAGAAGAGCTGGTCCAATTGCCCAAGTTGCAATACTTGTATGTGGTGGACAGCTTTTTGAAGGGTGACTTGGAATGGGTGTCTCGCATGCCGGCCATTCGCGAGCTGTGGATTGACAACAATCCATTGTCCGCGGAAATTCCAGACTCCTTGAGCAAGGCTTCCACATTGGCCAGCTTTTCCGCCGGCAACTGCGGTTTGACTGGAGGCATTCCAGCTTCGATGGGCGATTTGGCGGATAGTATGACCCATTTGTGGTTGAATGACAATGATTTGACCAGAGCCATTCCTGGAGATCTCTCCAGGCTATCCAATCTTCAAACCTTGAGTTTGATGGGCAATGGGTTCAATGGCGGAGTTCCAAGCGAAATCTGTTTTGATCTTTCACGGTTGCAAACGATCGAAGTGGATTCTTCTGTCCCTTGCGAATGCTGCACCTGCTGTGGCCACAACAGCCTCTCGGTTCAGAGTGCTACCACTGGCACCAGATAATAGTAATGTTTTTCACACAAGAACAACATAGAAATAATTGTACAATACGAATTTGAATATTTTGACATGAATTGCCTACAATAACTTTAGATTTACGAACCACTATATTACCAGGTACCTATATTGTTGACGTTACTATACTCTACAGCATACCGTACATGCATGAGTGTGGAGATCAGAACGATAGAAAATGACACTGCGAGCTTGGTCGTATTAACACCACTTGCGCCACAACCCGTACTTCTGATTCATTCCTGCCGCAGTTCCCATCCGAACTGTGAATGAAAAATTCGTTCCTGATCAAGAGGCTCTCTGTATTTTGAATACAGGTAGCAACTCTCTGAACTGACGTCACTCGTACATGCTAACTTCAAACTCGCAGTATGGTACTATGATAGGGTCAGTTGCAAATGAGGAAAGTAGTGCATGTTGATTATAGGTAGCTAATTTGGTAAAGGGGAAGGAGCGACACCAACAAGTAGACTATCGTAACAGTACTACTTGTGTTGAAATAGCTCTCCTCTCCATGAAACAGAACCAGGTTGGAGTTGAACATCCAGTACCAGAACCATTTTTAAAGTTTCCAGGTATACTCTCCTTTCATTAGAGTGCTTGTCTCTTGATCGGGAGCAGGCGATGTCAATCGTTGAGGTTTTTTAAGGTAGATACGGTGTGGTGGAACAGTTCGTCTGTCAAAATCCGGTTTCTTGGCGCTTCCCAGGCCAGGCAAATTTTGCTCCGTCTACAACATCCAATAAATCCTTCCGAATTTGTGTTCACGAAAGTTTTTCGCAAATTGACCGGTTATTAGTGACTGGCACAATTAAAAGGTTCTTCGATACGAATCAGAACGTTAGAAAGGGTAGCCTTCTCACCAAATGAGAGAAAAGGGGTAAGTTCAATGAGCGAACAATAAAATGAAACGGTCACCGGTTCCCCAATCAATCTGAAAGGACCCCGTTCACAGCTCCTATTTATTCAATTCCTGCATACCGGTAGGTAGGTTCTTCGTACGACAAGAAACGAGAGACGTCCCAAATGAATGCGCTAAAACAATCTGAAATCGAATGCACACCACTATCGAACTTTTTCACTTCTGCTCATAAATTATTTTTTACCCTAAAGTGAACTGAACTGAACTTAACTTGAAAGTAAATGGCTATGACAATGCAACACCAAGTAATTCAAGATAACAACTTTGCAGTCGCCATGATTGAAGAAGGCGCTTATGACGAGGCATCTGCCACACTTCGTGCGGCATTCCAAGCGTACCAGAACTGTGGCGACATGGAGAGTACAGCATGTAATGATGGAGTCTCGTACAAGTCTTCCATCAGCCTCGATGAATGCATGACGAAGGGACATCCAATGAGCTCTTCCATCGACCCGGACTTTCCATTCATGTATTCTGATGCCATTCGCATCTCGGCTGCGGCTGGAATATCAAAACACGATGTTACCTCCATCATTCTGTTTAACCTGGCACTGACCTATCACCTCTCCGCTTTGGATTCGAACGACCCTGATTCTGACCTTCAAAAAGCTCTGCATGTATACGAACACTTATATACCATGCAACAGCAGGAGAACACAGGGGAGAGCTTTCCATCGAATCTGATGTTCGTTCTCTCTATTTTGAACAACTGTGGCATCATCCATCAATGGCGATCAGAGGCCGGAACATCCATCAATGGCGAAGTGATTGCCGCACAATGCTTCGATAAGCTCTTGTCAGTCCTGACGCTCATTTCTAGCAAGACTCAAATCACAAACAAGAACGAAGAAGTTGTCGTTCGCGGATTCTACCGCAACGTCGTTCTGAATCGTTCACCAGCAGCCAGCGCTGCCTAAACCATTCTGATTGCCGCTAGCTACATGCTATTATAATAGCCTTTTATACATCATTCTGTACTACGATTGAACACTCTTTGCGGTGGAGCTTAGAATGGTAGGACTCGTGAAGAGTGCTCCGCATCCTAAAGCATGTCACACAATACTGCTACTATGGTATCAATCATGATCATGATGATAGTACAAAAGAACCAAAGCGACAACCGGCTCATGCTGTGGGTCCTCTAGAAGCTTCTTCTTCCAGCACTTTTTATCATGTGTGAATGGAATTTTCTTGGAATTGAGCTTACGAGTAGTAGGGGTATTGAAGTTGTGGTTGATGCCACAGCAAGAACAACTACCTGCTAGGAAAACCGTGGTACACCGACCGGGGGTGCCACCAGATAGCCGAGAAGCAGTACGGCATATTACAGTACAGCTGAAGATTGATCCCAGCGTCTTTAGCCCTCCATGTTTCGAGCTGATGAGGGAGACATCTGACATCGCAGTTTTAGTGCCTCCAGTTCTAGTACTCGTACTGGTATACTGTTGTACCTGATATTGACAACAAATGGTCGCGTGAGTCAGTCATTTGAATCGACCAAGAGCTATGCCAGTACCTACAAAACGAAGGGCGGACATGCTGAATTCTTCTACATAGTCTTCAGTACTTTGTTGAACGTGAAATTCAGACATCTTTTCCGGGATTGGATCAAGGGTGAAGGCGTGTAAGGTGAGCTTGAAACTCTACATACAGTACTGTACTGCAGCAACAAACTGAAGCTGAAGCTGAAGCTGACAGTACCGAACCGGTGCCAGGTACTCGTACTGAAAAGGGACTGTAATTCAGAGCAGCAAAGCACCCGTATCACATACATGCGCAATGCAAGACTTGCACGTCTGGCATACATCCGTCATTCATCCCGCGCGTGTCATTTTTGTGCACGCGGAGGTTCGGTGCGATTTCAAAAAATACCGTACATACTGACAACATCGAAAACGCATTGAAATTATTGTATGTTATTCCTCATCCGAACACAATAGAACTTGTATAATAGCATCATTGGAATAGCATCTCCAAGATTTGATTTTTCTAAACATACCAACTGCGAACCTCGTCGAAGCTATTGCGAAAGCCAACACTCTGAAGACTCAGAAACGTACAAAAGCACAAAAGCACACCGCACACACCAGAGCCAATTATATTGTTAAATTACACATATTATACAGAGTATGAAGAAGGATTCATCATCACTCTACGATTCACTCTACGGTTTCTATGAAAAATTCTTTCCCTCTGTCCGGGATAGAACGAAAGAAATGGAAGCTTCCAAACGATTCAAGTACCGACGACCAGCCTGTCTGAATGGATGCGTAGATGGTTTCAAACCCAATTGGTTCGTGTCGAACATGCTGCTGTGTCCTGCGAATTGGGAATACGCAATCTCCGATTTGTTGGTGCCACATTTATACTCCATGGGAATCGACAATCCAAACAAAGTCACAATGATGAATTGCTTAACTTGGAGACCGATTTCGTTATTCTGTCTAATTTATGGAGGTCAAGCTGGCTTGGGAAAGAGTCTGCATTATTGTTTGGCATTGCTACTTCCATTGCAACAGACAACGGATTGTGCAGATGGTCAAATGGCTCGGCGGTATGGTCTTGGCAGTGAATTTGGAGCTTGGTTTGATCACATAACAGACAATGTTTATGGTCTGATTTTCAGCTTAACTATGCTGTCCAAGGTATATGTTGCAAATGAGAGCATTTGGCCATTTTTACTTTTGTCGGTAGTTCTAGGATCTATTGGAGGACTTGGAAACTTTTGGATTCAGGCGGAAGAGGCTGGACTCAAGTATGACCAAATGACATTCATGAATAAGGTGGGAATGCATCAGATGCTCTTTCTCTCATACATCTATCCATTTTGGATCATTCTTTTCATTGAGATGGATTGGCTAAAATGATTCTTTGAATATATGATGGAGTGGAATAGAATGGAATGGAAGAAGGGAATATAGCACTTCCGTTCTCTGAGCACACAATTGAAATAGACTGATTGTTCTTCTTGTTCACTGGAAAAAGCTTTCCAAATTCAGGTACAATTGTAAACGTATAGATGTTTTGGATGTGTCAATAGAACGCAATTTATGGCCATGTTTAAACTATAAACAAGCATTATTAGTCAAATAGAGCGAGTCGCAGGATGTATAACATACCCACCATACTAGCCTTCATCGCACAGCGTACCACCTACCAGTAGTAAAGCACAGACAAAAACAAATTGATATTATAATTGCAAAGACACGGTCGTAATGCACTCAAAATACTGAGCAAAATACCAATTTCCTAAATACCCCCAATGTAATATGTACAATATTTTTTTTTATGCATACAACAAATACATACAATACATCATATTCTAGGCTGATGTTGCCGCTGAATAGATAGCCATCCCCATCATGTACCATACACAGCAATAGGCCGGCAGTGTCGACGCAAATAGCAATGGGAATCGTTTAAAGGCATAAGAGTAGTAAGATCGAAAGACGAACCATGCCCAGCCGATTCTAGCGGCGCCCCCAGCGTCTACAAAGGTCGCATATGCAAACATGCTCATGAAAAATGGAATCAGCTGCTCATGTAGATTCCCGGCGCATCGATCCGCACAGCGAATGGCTGGATTATCAGTCTTGCCATATTTCAATTCGGGAAGAGAGGGAGGAGATCTATTCAAATTAGTCTCGAGCTTGGCTTCCTTCTTGAGGCGGAAATATTCCGAGAAGGTAGTGTAACTTTGCAGCCAGTAGTAGGCATACAATAGTGACAGGACGGCACCAGCTACAAAGAGGACTGGCCTGTAGTCGCTGGACGACTGGGCGGGGCCTTGATATTGAAATGTCCCATGATTAAAGCCGACAAGAATCAGAGCCACAATGGCAACATAGCAGGAGATGATGCCCGAGAGCGGCAACAGCTTGATGGCCTCACCACTCATGATTCCGGCTGATGATCCTCGTGGTCGTTTTGTGATGTCAATCTCTTTGCTAATGGTTGCTGCCATGATTGTCAAATCACCTTCTGTTGTCTCCTTCATTAGCTTTTGAAACGCCTTGACTGTTTTGGGACATTTTGTGCGGTTGATGGTTAAGATGACCATTCCAACCTCAAGCTTGGAATCCGCAAACTTGCTAGTATCCTTGATGCGTGATATATATAAGGTATCCCAAGCGCTGGAACGTTTCACCACTAGACCAAGTTTCTCATTCTTGCTTTCCTTGAGAATGTTTGCATAACAGATGGAGTCGTAATATTTGGAAATGTCGATTATTGGACTTTCCTCTTCAGATGATGCCATGATGATGATAATGATGGTCTTATATTCTCAATTTGAAACGCGATGAGTGCAATTGCTTTAACTTTCACTGTTTTCGGGAAGCGAGATATATGTTGATGCAAAAACGGGTAGGCTGTACTTGTAGTCTTGAGGCTGCAAGATGAGATGCATGAAACTAGTCCCAAGCCTGCGGAAGGAAGTTTTAGTGTTGTGACTGTTTTGTGTCAATAATATGCAGTCATGCGTTGAGAAAAAAATAGCACAGTTTGAGTCGGAATAGTCGACTTTTGCAATTTTAATATCCTTTTATTACCGGTATCTCTTTTATACACACACTGTTTCTGTATCCTACAGTATCATGTATAATAGTAGTGTGGCAATCTTGGAGTTGCACGAATGAATCAACCTACCACGATTTACCGCGTCAATATTCCAGTTGGTACTACTATGAAATGATGACGATTGTTGATTGGTTCAGGGTCATTAGTAGATGAGCAAACACCATAGTCTATCTAGCTATGCTGGGTATTATTACTGCACACAATAGCGAGTATGCGCGTCATACTCTTAAGCTGATGGTGCTGAGTAGACAGCAAATCCCATAAGTGTCGCCATAGCAACGTAACAGGAGATCACCCCCGAGAGCGGCAAGTCCAATACAGGTTCATTTTTTAAGATCTTCTCACTGAAGCTTGTGTTGGATGGTCTTCGTGGTCGAATTCCGATATCAATGTCTTTGATAATGGTTGCTGCCATGATTGTCAAATCACCTTCTGTTTCCTCCATCAATGTTTGAACCTCCTTGACTGTTTTGGGGCTCACTGTGTTGATGGTTAAGATGACCATTCCAACCTGAAGTTTGGAGCCCGCAAACTTGCTGGTGTCCTTGATCTCAGATATATACAAAGTATCTAAAATGCTGGAACGCTTCACCACTATACCAAGTTTCTCATCCTTGTGTTCCTTGACAACGCATATGGATTCGAAGTATTTGCAAATGTCGGTGATTGAAGAACTTCTTTTGAATGGCATCTTGTAAGCTGACTGCAATTGCAAGGAGCGATGTATTGCGTTGATGCTATAACGGGTGGGCTGTAGCTTATGAGTTGCCTGAAAGCAGTAGCACGAAAACTGTGGGTGGAAGTTTGTGTGACATCGTGTTTTGTGAGAATGCGTTGAAACAAAAAATCGCCAGATTCTTCAAACTTAGGAATCGGAATAGTCGACTTCTGACACTTGCAGATGGCCGGATACACAGTAGCATAAAAACCTCAAACCGATGGCAGCAGGCAACCTCGGGTTGCGACCGGACGATGACGGACGGACTCCTGTGAAACTACAGGTATATACACTGCGACCTGCGGTTTCAGGTTTGAGGTTTCAGGTTTCAGGTTGAATGAATCAAGAGTGGTTGAATTCAGAATGAATGAATCATTGAGAATGATGATGTCACAAGATCGATTGGAGGGTGGTACATATTTGTCTCTATATCTTACAAGGGGAATGCAAGAGTGATTGCTTCCAAAACCTAAGGAGATCTTGAAAGATTCCATATCGTCATGAGAATTTTTTCCTTTTCACATAATATTTTCTTAGTTAGCCTATTCCATGAAGAAACTAGACTAAGACAGTACCTCACCGATGAATACCAAAGTGACTGCATGACGTCAATCCTCTTTGCCTATCGCAACGGCAACATTCACCAGTATTATCTAGGTTATCACCTACGCCAGTTTAATGTCATTAAAGTGAAATCACTTTTAGGATGATAACGGAAGCACCACAAGTTCGAACATGGTATGCTTCTCGGTCTCATCTTTGTCAACTGAGGTTTTTGCTGCATTTTCTGCCGATAGTAGACCATCTT